TACCGCGCAATTACACATTATTGTGAGCTTACCTAAGCCGCGGCATCAGAGGACAGTGTAGGCCAAAGCCTGAGCTCAGGTAGAGACGGAGAGACCAAGACGCAATTCCAAGAGTCTCAGAGCTAGAGACCGATACCCTATCCGTATGCCATAATAAGTAGCACTGGAGCACAAACCGTGGAGCTTGGCTCACTTGGCGACCCTGGGCGGTTGACGTTGACGTTGACGTTTGACATTGACGTTGACGTCTGGCCGAACGCTTTGGTGTTCCTTTGGTCGGACCGTTTTCCTCAATCTCTCTCTGTTTCTGCCTCTGTGTCTCTTTTCATGTCTCTTACACACACTCACACACGCACACCCTCACCCTATCAATAAAACCGTGCTCTCCCGTCCGGAACCGCTCCCCTGCGGCATCGTCCGAGAAGAGCAAGAATCATTTGCAATTGTGCAACGGCGCCATGCCCGTTGTAGCGATACGCCATCCCTATTCGTGCTCCTGACAAAAACTCCCAGGCCAATAGGGTGCCAGATGAGACCTGCCAGCCCGTCACAGACCAAAACCCGCGCCGACGTCTGATTCATGCACTCCCGTCACCACTCTCCAGTCACGACCGGCTCAGACATGGAACTCAACCACGACAATCCGTACCTTACGTACGGATACCTTACTCATCCAAGGTACGGATACACGAAGCCCATCATTCACTTTGACGTCAACTTGTGCACAAGTAACGCGCTTCCACCTCTTTTGGGGGTCCATCTTCGGGGCACACAGCGGCACGGACTGCGATACGACAAGTCTATTTCCATTTGTCTCCTTGCTATCACCGGCTAGCACTCACTCTTGCTAGTCATGGTATTCATTTTGGCTACTCAATACGTTACAGAGGCGTCGCCTCCCTCCGTCTGGCAGAAGCCACGTCAAAGCCACCATCAGTAGTCATCGGATCAAGTGTCTTCATGTCCTGGACGCGGACTTTTCCACTTTCATTTTTCAACCCGGCGTGCGCTGTACTCTGTTTTCTCTACTAGATATTGAGTCTTCGATACCTGACCGCAGAATAGACTCGGCTGGACCATGGACCCAACAAGGTCAAGCCTCAACCTGGAGGCAGTACCGGTAGGTAAACAGATACCTACCAGAGTTGACGGTTGACGGGCAGAGCACATGGTAGCCACCCTTACAGGGCCCCGAAAGCAAGAGATAGGATTGTTTCGACCAACCAGCCAACCCCACCAAAAACGGTCTCTCGTCCCGAGGTATCCATCCATTCCATGCACCGCCGTCCTTGTTCACGGTCAGACCCGTCCTTTGGCCTCCCTGAAATGCAAATCTCTTTACGCCTGAATCCAGAAGATGTTGATGCACGCATTCGTACGTACAGTGATCAGATTATGGCATGCCAACCAACGGCTATGTTGCAGACCGAGAGACAGATTGTTCACGCGAATATTCGGTGTGTCCTACCATACCTCTTCTCATTAAGCTTACGGATGGGATACCTTACGAATGGAGTACCTCATCGTTGCCACCTCTTCCACCACAACCGGCATGATCGCCGGTCCGCCCCCAGCTGGTCGCATTCCACTGACTACACATCCCGGCCAGCTGAACACAGGCAAGACGGGCCTCCCGGGACGATGAATGTGTTACTGGCATGACTGTTGCTTCCGTCAACTTTCACGTTCATGATTCCGGCTATGAGTGGCCCAGCGTAATGCAGCCGTTTCCAGCGAGGCCGGGCTTGATGCCCTCCGATCTCATCTCGGCCAGCCCATCCGTCTATCGTTCCTTGGTAAGACCGAAGGCGGACTGGACCAGGAACTTGAACGGGAACGGCAAGTGTGTCCATAGGGGTACCGAGTAGGGGTCGCTGGAGAACAGCTGCGGCATAGGACAGGTGCGCTTCGTACCGCGCAGAGCATCGTGTCGACTCGCATCCGCATCGCACAACGCAAGCAAGCCGGGTACAGACACTGCATCTTCCATCTCTAGGGATGCGCACCAGTGCGCGCCGCCACAACCTAGACCAACCGTACATGCAGAGTCTGTGCATTGTGCGACTCGCACTCGGTCGGCATGTTGACCTGGACTCATGTGAGATATGCAGCTCAGCAACAAAGTCAGCCGAGTCCATCAGCTGAAAGGAAGTCGAGCCTGACAATTACAAAATTTGAGAAAAGAAATCAAAATCAAAACTGAAAGCAAAAGAAGACATACAGAGCTGAAAAAAGTCTAATCATGAATCAAAAGATCAATTCAAGATGAAAAAATGTCAGCCTCTTGGGTGTATCGTTCGTGCTTCCATTGCCTGTGCCCACCTCAAGAGGAGCAGTGCCAATGTGCGTTGACCTTCGTCTCTCCAACGAAGCCAAGTTGACAGGGTCAGGCACATACGTAACATTTCGTCAGATGAATGAAGCTTGACCACCGAGCCGACGACGATCCCTGAGCAGTTGACGTTATCCGAATGCGCCTGACAAAGTTCGCCGGTCATCAATCTATCAACTCGGACCCGCCCAGATTAGGTACCCCACGTTGGTCAGTCTTAATCACGCTGGGCTCAACCACAGACAGGTGAGTCAAGGTGAGACGCGGTGAGGCAAGGTGAAAGTGAGCTTCCGATATCAGCAAACATGATTATCCGTCGGCCAGATGCCACTACTGCTAGAGCCAGAAGCCAGGAACGACTCGGGGAGGCGAATCAGCTGTGCCTAGCCCGCTCCGAGTGCGCGTGCATGTGCCGTTTCTTGGGCACCTCTTGGATAGGCAAAAAGCAGTTGGAACCTCCACGATCGGGAATCCTCGTCGTTCATACTATGCCTCATCCGTCTGTCCGACAGCGGCCGATTCCAGCAGTGGCCCACATCCTGGCCATATCCTAGCATCATCCTGGCATCAGATCAGAGAGCATCCTGTCCCGCTGGGTCCATGGCGTTGGCTTGGCTTTGGGCTGTGGCTTGAGCCGGGGCCGCTTCGAGAGCCAGGGACAGGCCCCGATCCCACAAGTAGGACAAGGATTATCAGCAGCAGCGAAGCTGGAGCCGGGATAGGGATGGTCGACAGGGACTAGGTCGGTACGACGAACAAGACAAGGGCTAGGGGGCGTGTGTCTCGAAAGGAGATAGCCGCAAGTCAGGCTTGTCGATTGAAAGAAGTCTTTCCCGTCACCTGGGTCTGGCCGTGGCACCAGCTCCGGCCGTGGTTCGTAGGTTCCCTCTCGTGGTCACTCTGCCATCCATATCCAGTAAACAGAGAGTGTAGGATGCTTTACTACAAACATGCCGATCAAGGTGAATCTACTGATATGAAGTGATGCAATATGATAGCTTGGGCTCGACCGAGAAGACAATACTTGCAGCAACCTCGAGTGAGGAGGGAAGTAGGTAAACAGAAAGAGAGGGGAGAGAGATGCAGAGAGAAAGAGGGGGAAACAGTTGAGGCTCCCCGTCGCTGGTGGTGGTGGTGGTGGTGGTGGTGGTGGTGGTGGTGGTGGTGGAAGGTACCTCCGTAGTGTATCCGTACCTTATGCGGTACTGCGTGACTGCTTAAGTCGGGGACGGATGGCTCACCCTGTTGGAAAGGTACAAAGTCATTTACAAGCGGCCCCGTTCCGTACCGCGATTTGAGGTGATCTCCCACGCTACCAGTCTTTCTATCCACTCACATCACTGGCTGGTGAGAGCGACTTGGGCCTGGATCTAGACTCTCTACCATGCCTTGAGGTACCGCATGAAATGTACTTGTCTCTTCCATTGCTCAAAGACGACGACAACGACAACGATAACTACGACGACGGATACAGCTAATGTAGACCTGAGCATTGGCAATGGCTCTCTCCGTCTCTTTTCTTCTTTTTCTCTTTCTCTTTGCTCCCTCCCACATCTCTTGCGGTTGCACACCCTGACTACGGGGTACCCACGGTACCTTGGCTTGCACGCCCATCCCCCACACCTCCAGTCCCCGATCTCAGAATATGTACTCTGCACGAAGACCTCGCATGCCTTTTCCAGCTTTGTAGCTCTTTTTTGATAGATTCACCCTCCGGCCTTCCCTCTCACCCCTACCTCGAGCTTAGACGGGGAAGGCGGCTGGCCCTTTCCCAGCTTCTTCGGATCGTGCTTTTCTGGCCTTCTGGACTTCTCTGCCCCCAGGTGCTGCCCATGAGCCCGCCAAGTACCGCTACCGCTACCGCTGCCGCTGCCGGTGATGTTGGCACTTGCCCGTGTACGAAGTACCTACCTTTTTTCCACGAACCTGGGCTCGCTCTCAGTTCGGATTAGATGGGTGTGAAGTAGGTAAGCGTGGGAGTGGGAGTAGCCCTTGTGAGCGCGGGCCTGGGTATGGAGCATGGGGCGTGTGCCGGGGGATTTTCACGAACCGTCGCTCCACTTGCCATCATCACTCATCACCCGTCTCTTCTGCTTCTGCTTCTGCGTCTACGTCTGCGTCTGCTCTGATCCTGATCCTGATCCTGATTTTGATCTACTCGTCTGGACTGGGGCAAGTTCCTTTCATCTACAGCACCCCCCGTTCTTATTCTCCCACCCTCTAACCAGGTTCGACCCAAACCTTATCCTTTCTTATTCTTTCGTCGTTGTCCCCCAGGCCCTCCAATTTTATTCAGTCAGTGGCATACACACACCTCCTTCTGAACGCACAGCCTTTCCAACCTGAACGTTCTGCTTTTGGCTCGGTTTCTCCACCACGCTGCTTCCACCTGCTCAACAACATATATACGCAGACATCCCACGGTCGTCCAAGACCTGATTCAGCCTCTATCACTCCCATCATCAACTTACCATCAACCTTCAACTACCACTCTATCGCTCCCACCATTATCTACTGCTTCACATTCACATCCATCTCTTCTTCCCATACATATACACACACATACGCGCACACACGTACATCATCGTCGACACCCTGTATTCTTTCGATATCGACACTCACACATCACCACTTGCGACACTACTTCGTAGACTCTCTCTTAGCCAAAATGTCTCTCGCTTCCCAAAGGAGAGGACCTTGGTCCCAACAAGAGGACGCCTACCTCATGCAGCTTGTCAACGACCAGGGCCCTTTGAACTGGGTGCGAATTGCCCAAGCCCTGGGAACGAGGACACCAAAGCAATGCAGAGAACGATTCCACCAGAACCTCAAGCCTACCCTGAACCACGAGCCCATCACTCCTGAGGAGGGTGCCCAAATCGAGATCCTCGTCAACGAGATCGGTAAGAGGTGGGCAGAGATCGCAAGAAGGCTGCACGGCCGCAGTGACAACGCCGTCAAGAACTGGTGGAATGGAAGCCAGAACCGCAGAAAGCGTCACGATCGTCGCAGGGCCAACCAAGGCAGCAACTCCGGCTACGACGACCGCAGATATGGCCACTCTGGCTTCCGCCCTACTTTGACCATCAACTCTCATACCGCCTCCTACTCTCACGCCAGACACGGCATGTCATCGCCTGTCTCTCCCGCCTTTTACACCCACAGCCACAACTACTACCAACTCGAGTCGCCGCTTCCGTCGCCCAACTCCACCTCTTCACCTGGCAGCGATGGTCTCGACGGAGAGACGTCCACCATGTCCGATGCCGCTTCGAGCTACACCACTTCACCCCAATGCCTCTCTCGGGGCACCTCGCCATCTGTCCAATTAGCCCCGCTTCGCATGGATGAGCACTCGGCCCCTCGCTCACTCCCATCCTTTGGTAGTCTTCTCAATGCTCCGGGCGATAGAAAAGAAGTCGGCCACATGCCCCTGCCTTCTCTCCCATCGCACCTCCTCACAGCACCCAATTCACCTGTGAGGAGCACAGTCCAACAAGCCCTGCCGCCGCCTTCTCCTTCAGCTGCAGACAAGGACTCGAGGATGGATGTTTCCGCCCTCCTGGGCTGAGAAAACAACTTGTTCAAACTTTGTTTTATCTCTTTGAGGGATACAACCCTCCTGTATGCCATAATGTACAGTACATGGGTTCTAACGGCGCAAATATGTGTAATGGGCGGTATATCTGGGCATGGAACGTAAAACCCGTACCCTGTATTCCAAGTTTTGTCTTTTTGCTTTGATACCTGATATTGAAACCTAGCGAGGGAATGGCGCAATTGGGAGACCTGAGAAATCAAATAGGTCTGGCATGGGACGGCGGCAGGACGGTAGAGATTTTAGGAACAGAATCTCGCCAACGCCCCTTGATTTTAGCTACACCTCCGTATATGGTGTAAACATCACCAATAATCAAAAAGTTACGAAAACATGTTCGCAATCCTGGCAATTCACTGTGATTTGAAAATGGGATTCTAATTCCAATGCACGAGTTTTCCTCAATCATCTGGGTACATGTGCATTCGAAGCCGTCCCAATCAAGTCGGCACCGTCTGGGCGGAGGGGTCCCCCACGTTGGCAGCCACGTCAGCGACGATGAGTGGGAACCTCAAACGTCAAGGGCCAGACTTTCCATCGGTTTTTTTTTTTTCTTTCTTTTTTTTTTTTTTTTTTTTAACAGTCATCCCCCCGCCGTTCGTTCGTCTGGAATGGGTCCTCGATCAGAGTTTGTGCAACGTAGGTGCATATATGGCTCACGTAAAAAGACTGTATGGCGCGAGGCGCAAGGAAAACGCAGCATCAAGGCACACAGGGTAAACATATCAAGGTAGGCAGGCAGGCTTACGGGTTGATGACAGAGTGGGTGGTGAGTTAGTGAGCGTGCAAACTCACATCTGGGCGAGGTTCTGGAGACATCGGATGGCTGAGATGCTCCAACTCCAATTGCGGACAGGTAAGGATGGCAATGGCTCAGGTAGCTATCAAGGAGCGCTAGACAGGGACCAGAGGTGCAGATGAGGCGGAGGACAGAGCGTTTCGGTCAGGGCCAACGCTCGCAGCCAAACACGAGATCGGGGACGTTCTGCTGCAGATGAGCGGGTGGGCTGTACCAGTGTCGATCATGACGAGGATCATGGCAGAGGAATGGGGCCAGATGGGAGGAGCGATGAGCGGCGGGGACAAAGAAAAAGCGAGGGAGAAGGGGAGCGGCGTAACATGGGGCGGGCGTCATGCATTGCATCGCATGGTGGATAAGGGAATTCGTCGTGTACATTCATTCACACAAAAAGTCTTGAGTGTCGAACGAGTCGAGGAAGCATTGTCCAAGGCAGTTTGGAGCAGCGGTACGGTTGGCGAGCAATTGCCGATTGCAGACACACATATGTTGGTTGCATGTTCGTAGACAGACGGGCGTTTATGCTCCAATTTCATGATGGCTTCGTTTCTCAGCAAGAACCTGGTAGACGCACGCGTTTATCTACGGAGTAAGGTATGAATACTTTCCGGCAACGGAACATGTGCCAAGACAAGACGACTTATTCAATCAATCTGAGGCAGTAACCAGATGCAGATTCGACATGAAGATTTAGCCGCATGTAATTGGAGGGGAAGCCAGTGGGGGTGGGGGGATGCACCACGGCCGAGAACCATCCCTCGTTCTCATTCCCTTGCTCTCTGAAAAGTCAAATAAAGAAGTTGACCAATCTCAACACAGTTATCCCAAGTAGTTGTTCAGAGGGGGAGAAGAATCGAAGAAGTAAAAAAAAAAAAAAAAAAAAAAAAAAGCAGCATTACCTCGGTATACCCTGTTGGTGAGTTAGAGTATGAAGAAATCCGAATAGCCATGGAGGACTTGGAAACTCTGTTCTTGTGGTCGGTCATGGGCAGGTATGCCTCATGGAAAATGCGAGCCCGTACCTTCTCTCATACATGTTTTTCCAAGGTGCCTGCACCTACCCTACCTACGTGCCTACCTCCCTCAGGTTCCTAAGGTTGCCCGCGGGGAAGGGGAGACGAAGACGGCGTTGGAGGGAGAGAGAGGACAGAATGGAAAGTGACAAAGTGACCTTGGCCGATGTATCTTTCCCATCTTTCCCTTCCATTTCCGTCTGGCCCCACCACCGCCCCTCCTTCTTCGAGACCGATCCCTAAATCCGGAGACGAGACGACGTCAAAGAGATGGAGGGACTCGACTCGAGATGATCAGCTCAACCCGACCCGACTCACCATTGCTCTTGCGGCTTTGTCCTGACAATTCTTCAAACGACGCAAGGACGACGTGAAGAGACCCCTCTTCTGTTCCCGCGTACCAACAAAAGTCTCCGTCTCCCACCCACCCATCCCCTCCAGCAATGACGAATGGCAACCGAAACCATCCAGAGGAGGAGCACAGACGGGGCCAAGGCAGCGCGGCAGCGACGTCTATCAAATCAATCAAATCCACGCTGACAGATAATTGGCACTGACTTACATCTGCTGCCGAGGCCGAAGGAGTTTTTTCGTCCAATGTCTGTTGCTTGCTGCATCGCCACCGGCCGTCAATGTTGTCGTTGTCGTCGTCGTTCGTCTACCCACGCATTCGCACCGCACGTACACGCGCGCGCTCGCACCAACCGTTGAGATGTTGGCGAGGCTTTCAGTCGCACATCAATGGGGACGACGACAATTACTAGAGGGGGGGGACTAGGTGCCATGGTGCACCGTGATCTCCGCCGGACCCTGGTCGCCTGCCCTCGGAATGTTTGTGTCCCGTTGGCGATCCCTGGTACAATCAGCGGATGGCAGCAACCTGGCAGCAACCTGGCAGCGAATTGGCACCGAGGCCGTGCTGATGGGATCAAATAGGATCTGCGGCTCTTTTGGCCCAGAAAGATACCACACAGCGGGTGGTAGCCCATCTGTCCAGTGGCCAGCCAGCCTCGTACACGCGCCCTATTTATCCCTGGAGCCTGTCACTTTACTACGTCTCTTAAGATCTACGTAATTTGTATCGACATCTCAGCCCGCCCCGCGACCACGAGAATCAAGGCCGTGTGTACGTGATAAAGAAAAGAGAACTCGGAGCCAAAAGAAGGAAGCTGATAGGTACACCAGGGACCAGTCATTTTCAACCTGATTGATCAAGGTACCAACCGATGCATACCAGATCTACGGATAGGGCGAACGATCGAAACAAACTTGGTCATGGACCAACAGGCAGGGGAAATCAGCCAGTCGTTCTCCAAGTACGGATATAGTATCTGTCAGTAACCCGGTGCCTTGTCTCAGTGGCACCCACTTCGTAATTAACCACACAGGTGTTGTACGCACGCATGGGCGATGCAGAGTCCTCCATCTCAACTCGACCAATCGTGGGCCTAGGGAGGATGAGAGGCGTTGTCGTCCGAAGCGCCGGCGCAGCTACCAAGTCACCGTCGACCGTTTCAGACTCCCGACCAGTGAGAACCACGACGTCCACCAGTAGGGTGATGGCCTGGTCCGCGGCGACCCATATCCAGAATGCACCAGGAAGACTAGACCCAGCCATACGGGCCGTTTGCACCACAAGAAAAAGACGTTGGATCGTTCGGGCAAGCCGACACCCGTCACCCGCAACACAGCGAGCAGCTTGAGAAGGGAAGAAAAAAACGGGCTTCCTCCTACGTCTGCAGATCTTGCATCGGTTCTCCTCCTTGTCGTCGTCGTCATTGGTCTTTGATTACATTCTCGGCACGCATCGTCACCGATGTCTTCCTCCAAGTTGCGTCCATGTCTGTGGACTTCATTTGCACCGTAGCAATATGAATGAGCAGAGATGGAGAAACGAAGGGGTTTCCGGGGCCTTCGTCAAGGGAAAAATAAAATGAGAACATGGAAAGTACGTGCGTACCATACGGGCGAAAGAGACCGTTGCTGTCTCCACATGACGAGAGGGAAAAAAAGTGTGTTCGTACTCCGTATACTACGAACGGATGTTTAAACCAAACCATACTAACCACAGGGACATGGCAGTTATTCGCTCGCTCTCCCACGCAGTTTGTCAGGGGTTCAGCAGCTGAGAGACCTCCTTGGCGAAATGATTCCACATCACATCGGAAGCCCGGCGATCATCTGCGGATCCAACCTCAACATGAATTCAGTGGAGGGTGTTCTGGGGGGGAGGGGCAGCGGGGGACCTAGGCGGTTCTTGGCTGCCACTGCGACGCTGTGGGAATACGGGTGCCGTTGCAGTTGGTGATCATGCCCGAGAGGGTTAGACTGGTTTTGGTGGTCAATGAGGAAACGGGCACGAAAGAGAAAGGGGGGGAGGGGTGAAGTCAAGTGGGAATTGGCGTACAGAGAGACATGGGGGACACACCAAATTCCATGGGGGGCCAGCAGCTGGATAAACGATGTGAGGTTGAATCTGAGATGCAATTCCATCTGGGTCCAGCTGATTTTCTCAATGGAACAGTCCGTACGGAGTGTTCAGTATCCGTAGGAACTGGGTTGGATCCGTACGGATACAATGTAATATAGAGTAGCATTCGTAAGATAGACGACTCTGGGTCGGCACGGCCATGGAACATGTTCGCCCCATGGCTGGCGCCCCGGGCCAATGGGCTCCCGTCGATCAACGGTCGGCCAGCGGCATAAGCGCAGGCAAACGGGGACAAGGAGACTAGGAGCTGGGAGACGACTAGGATGGTGCCAGCTCTCATAGCGGGAAGCCTCACGGGCAGGGGTGAGCGAGGCCGTCGCCATTTTACGAAGCGTAAGCAGAGTGCATGCGGTATATGGGGATATGCTCCGCTCACCAGTACCTAAGTACGGAGCACGAATACTTGATCCTCAGACCATCGAAGAAGAGAGGGAGAGTGGGATTTGCAGAGAAGCTCTGTATTCTTCGGGACTCCACCAACGTAGCGACCTACGAATATCCGCACACCGCACACGGCGCACAGGAACACACGAATACATAGTGAACACCACGCGACAGGGGAGAGGCGTGGGAGGAAGCAAGCAGGCATAGGCAAGCTTCAATTCCAATCTCAATCTCAGCCCGACAACAGGGGGGGCAAGGGTCGATGGGGAACAAAACTTGGCCTGTCCATCATCCATGAAGCACCAACCAACCCGTTACCCTACGAGTAAAGGCTATTTGTACCTACCCGCCGCCTCTTTGGCTGCATCACACACCTGGTACGAAGTACACATTCGCACACTCTCACTCCCGGTCGGTGCTCCGTATGCGCAGCATCATATCGAGATTGCAACGTGCCAACCCACCGGCCAGCCACTCAGCCCTTCAGCCGTTATACGGGTGCCTGCTGTCTCTCGCCCCTGGACTGGGTCTCTTGTGTGTCTGAGACAAGAGGCTAGACCAGGGCCAGGCGGGTAAGGTATTTGCAATTGGGTACCCGTACGTAAGGTAAGCTGCGCGGGTAAGGCCCTGAGAGGTGAGTCCTGACACGTCAAGCGAGATTCCCGTTGGCGTTGCTTTCTGCTGTGCGCGTCGTTTCCGTCTTGACACAACAGGACATCCCAACCGACTGCTCTCTCTCTCTCTCTCTTTCTCACATCAGACTCGTCATATCTGATGGACTCTGACTGTGGAGTGTAGACAGCCCTCTGCTGCCGTTGCAGGCCTGCCATGGACACGACAGGGTGGTTCCTGTGGTGGACAGAGTGCTGTAGAATCCATTCTGCCCCCTCCATTGTCCGCACGTCATATCCGCTCCTAACTTGCTTTACCTAAGCAGACCTTTCCTTCCTTGGATAGCTGTGCGAACAGACGGGTTTCCCGATCTTGCAGCTGCAAGTCTGCGGCCTGCCTGCCCCGTTGCTGCTCTGCGAGGTAACCGCACGTACGGTGCAGACATGCATACTGCCTGCCATACACAGCACTAACACTGAACAATATGCTCGCCAGAGAAGACCGTTACTTCCTTTTCTTAGCCCCTGCCGAACATTGTTGATTAGTGACCGCCGACGATATGTGCACGCATCACTGCATACCGACTTCCAAGTTCCCGTAGGGCAACAGGTTGCCCGTTCACGCCGTTGTCTCTCCTCGAGCACGTACGCCCGACATGTGTACCTATATGTACGTAACGTACTATCGTGACTTGCAGCCCAGCCTGGGCGCGCTGGTTCAACGTAACTGCCAATACATAGTACTCGCTACCTACTCAGGGCGAGAAGGCAAGGTGTGTTAATGGTTGGCAACACGCCCCTGTGTTCCTCCCTGTCCTAGACACACGATACCCAGCATGTTTGTTTGTTTGTTTGTTGTGCAAAGACTGAGATGGACAAACAGGCCGGCCCCCATCCCATCCCATGGTAAAGGAACACGATCCCATCGAACCCCAAGTTCCAGATCAACTGCAAATGCAAATGGGAATGCAACCTCGACTGCATTGGTAAACCACGCCCCTACCCCCCGGACCCGATGGTTCCACGACAGGGATGACAATAACAGTCTCTCCAAAACTTGGTCTCTCACCGGTTCCCAGGCCTGCAGAACGGATATCACTACTCATATCCGCGGCTGTGGTTCACCCCGATTCGATCTCGGCGTGCAACAGACAACAGGAAAAAGGAACAACAACCGTCACAGCCAGATAATGTGAGCCAAAATCTTTGTCATTCAGGAACCACGCAGCCCAGACATGATGGAGAGATCCACCTTCCACTCTCCCACCCCGCTCACTCGCTCTACTTGCAGCCCTCCTGCTGCAGGACGTCTACGAATACTTGATCGGCGCGGATGAAGCACCTTGCCCTGGCAACTTACTTCTTGTTTTCGTTCCTGTGCATAACCCATGTTCGAAGAAGCCTCACAGCCTCAGCCTCACTTCCCAGCTTCTTCCCTGGGTCCTCGCTTTCCTACCAAGTTACTGTGATGGATGCATGCTTCTTCTTTGTCTGATAGCGCATCCGTGAGTTCTTTTCTAGCCCCGTATACGAACAGATATCTCAGGTAGCCTAGCCTCCTGATCATCGGTCGGACGTAGCATCCAAATAATGCTTCTCAGTAATTAGATGCCGACTAGATTTTCTCACCAACATCATCTCCCGAGACCCTTGCCAACTAAAAAAGGGTGTCAGCACGTAATTTGTCCTTGTTTTACTCCAGCTGGTTGAAGCCACACGCCTTTAGCGACGCCACATTTCGCGGAGCTTGCCCTAGACACTAGGCCTAAATAGACGTGCGACCAAGTAGAAAAGCCGGTAGAGCGAACAGAGCGAGACAGGCTTGGTGAAGCTATCTTGGGTGTAAATTCCATCATGACAAATATCGCCCCACCCTGGTCCCGCCAACCCTGACGTGTGTGAGTGTCGAGTCAAACAGTCAGTGCCAAGAGTGCCTCTTCCGGGTGAGCTAAAATCCCATAATACGTACTCACGTACCTGGTCTGTAGGGCAAAATGACATGAGACGATGGTCAGTGCCAGAAAGCGACGACAGCATCACATCTCACGATTACATTGCCATCGACGCAACACTCTCTCGCACGTGCTCATCCAACCACACCGTCAATGCAGGTCCCTACTGCGAATGCCACCTGTCAATCGCCCCGTCCTGCCACCGCTGCCTACCTACTTGCATTGAGCTGAACCTCTGCTATCGATAATCACAGTAGACTATCAACTTGAGCTGATGATGCGAAAGGAGAGACAGGAAGAGGTAGGGAGTGAGGAAAGGAGACAAGTGGCTGCATAACGACGCAATTACAGTGAAACTACACGATACCACCAGACGATGGCGCGCGTCGGCCGCAGCTCAATGTCTCTTTCAAGGCGCCAACATCCCACAGGTCTCGCACTTTTTACCTTGCAGTGCCGTTCGTCGCCAACTACGCTAGAGGAATTTTAGCATGACTTCATGCCGTGTGCACAGATATAACAAAATACCATTGGTGCCTTTTCCCCTCTCAACATTGAGGTGCGAAGTCAAAGTCACAGTCACATCTACACTGCCACCGTCTCCTTATTATGCGACTGACCCGAATTGAAGTCACGAAGTGAACTGAACTATGCGTCTGAAGGGAACGAAATAACCGGGGAACCGGCTCAAGCCACGACTCTGGTCCGAATCACAACAGTGGCGCTCGGTCAGCCGCACAATACATGACAGCATTTGTTTGACTTTTGTGTAGTTTATCAGATTTTCCTGAAAATTTGTCATTCTTCTTTTTTTCTTTTACTTTGCAACGTTTGGGAGGCGAAGAGTTTCTTTTTATGGTTTTATGGGTCCAAAGGACCGTTGGGGCTCTAGCTGTCCAACAGACAAACGGGTGTCTTGACTCTTCACACGGACTTAACATGCATTGACACTCGCGGGCTGTGCGACCCGGGTTCCGACGGCACAGACATGGAAACGGACGACTTCAAGGAGGGGGAGGACGACGACAACGACATCCTGAAATATCGGACTCACGGCATGAATCACACAGATCCGATGCCATACGCGGCAGTAAGCAATAGACGTGTAGGTTACGCCAACTAAGGTAGGTAGATAATGCAATTGTCCTTGTGCGGTGCCCTGCGGCTTGGCGATATACATTAGCTAACTAACTACCTTGTGTAGCAGGCCGTCTATGCTCAAGCCTATCCTTAACGCCTCTATTTGCACTTGGATCCCCAGGGTCCTCGAGAGCCGCTGATTGTGAGCACCGTTCCATGCGGAACAACGCCTTGAAACCTTCTCTGCTGGGAGATATTCTTCTTGTGTCAGACCCTGAGGTGCCACGCCGTGCCGTGCCTGGGGGACGTTATACTTCATCCACCGAACCGATGAGGTTCTGTCCAATAAGCACGCCCTCACGCAAACGGTTGTCTCCTGATGAAGCTATACATGGTGGCTGTATGGCAGCCAATACGCGAGAAGCAAAGAAGAACGGCTTGAAGTCTCCGACCAGTTGTGACTCTCTACTTCTAAGACGCCCTGTCAGACATCTAGGCTTAAGAGAGAGATGCTTCCGTGGCGAACATGCCATCCTGGTTCACATTGTGTGTCATCTTTCCATTTTCCTTCCTTCATTCTCATCCAGTGGTGATCATGATCACGGGATAGAACTGCAATCCGTGGTTGATATAACGAGCGTCGTTCCCCATAATACTATCCACTTGCCAATTGAGCCATCAACGCTGTTGATGGCCATGTGAAGTCACTCAAAAGTCAACCAGAGGCGGGGAAAGGAAGGGAACTTTTCCCCAGCCTTCTCTAGTCGTCCACTCGACCTCCTTCAACCCGGATGTCAGAGGCTATCCGTACATGAGTAGGATCAAGACTCTAAACGGTGCTGCCTTAGTCAGACGAGATTCGAGGCCACTCTGGTGACGGGTGCTCAAGAGGTTCGTTGAGCGAATGAAATAGCGACTCGCAACCATTGGATGCGGTCATCCCCGGCCCCGTCAAGCCGTCACGCAATACAACATGCACCTGGAAGGATGCAATCGCCGGAGGCTTGGGCAGTCCAAGGGACACCGCAACAGTCTACTCACGATCCAAGTCCTAGCCAGACTTCCAGGTAGCCATGGTTTAAAGCTAGACGAGTGGAGAGAAAGAAGACTCTAGGAGACCTGGGATTGGGCTGGAAAACCACCCGACAGAATGAACCCAGGAATCTGGTAAACAAAACGCCTTCCGCTAATCGACCGGCGTTCAAGGCTACAAGAACCGTTTTCGTTTCCCTTTTTCCCCTTCTTGACTTTTCATCCGTCTACACACCCTCTTTCTCCATCCCCTTCCCGCGTCCGGCCGTGTCCGTGTCCGTCCATCTACGCGGTGCGCGCGCAGAATGGCTTTTGCTTTTGCTTGGGCAAAGGGGCGGGCCCGCCTCCGGCGCAAGTGACCGCATCGGTGCAAGTTTGTTTACTCTCTCTACGTCTCCTCGCGACTTTTCTCGGTCTTCCGCTAATAGAAATGCATTCCCCTCCGCCCGCCCCCAAAGATTGGGCGAGGCTAGACAACCCCCAGTCTCCCCAGTCTAGTAGTCTAGACTCTCGGCTTTTCTATACATATGTTGAGTCCTGGGCACTAGCGGGAGTCTAGTAGCGCTCCGTTGGTTTTTCTCCGTCCGCCGAGAGCGTAGAGAAGCCCCCCCCCGGTCTCCCGACTGTTTATGGCTTCGTTGGGGTCTTCCTGTGGTCTTTCCTTTTCACTAGTTCGTTATTTAGTAGTGGCCCCTTCCACTGCCCGATACCGTTCCGCCGGCCGCCGTGCCGGATATTGCTTACTGATCTGGGGTTGGGCGAGGAGTTTGTCTTGATACCTATCCAGTGTTTTTATCACATTACACATTTTTGGGGTGTATTTGGAATCGACCACTCTTCATCAGAAGACTTCAAATATTGCATGCTGTGGCTACCTATCAGGGCGGGTTGTCTTGTGGTAGCATGTAACATCTCGGGAACGGGGGAATATTTGTGAGTATATGATATACGACAAGTGACAAAAAAGAGAGACCTTTCTCCTCCTCCTTTGGCCCGGAGATTTTGAGCCATGAGCTTGTACACATCCATCCGCGTTCGGCCCGTTGCACACGGCCCGCAGTCGTATCCTCTTTCCCTCCACGACCTTGGCCTGGTGATCTGTTCAGGGGTTTGGATTCAATTCTCCCCCTTTGGACCTTCGCTTCGCGAGCTTCTCTCCGGAACCCTAGTAGTTGTTCAAAGCAAGGATCATGGTTTTCGCTCTCGGAGGAAGTCGAAGACAAGAAGAAGAAGAAGAAGAAGAAGAAGTAGTAGTCTAGTAGTCTCCGGGGTGGGCAGGCAGGCCCAGGGAGCTCACGTGGCATATCCATTTTCCCTTTCCAAATTTGGAGCCTTTTACGGAACTTAACAGCCTATTCTGGTCTGGTACAAGAAAATCAACACGCCAGCTTTCCTTCCCACAGAAAACGGCTTCATGCAAGCGCGAGTAAGGAGTCTTCGATGAAGGGGGGGCGTAAATTCACCATTCATCCGATGGACCACGTCATTTCTATGATGGGCGCAATCTAGACTCTCGTTCCCATGGGTTATGGGCACGACTGACACACATGGAGGGACGGTTTTCAGCTATTTCATGCGAAGCAAGGAGAGAGAGGAGAAGAGAGATGTCTACATGACCTTGATACCTACCATAGCAAGCGTAGGCTGCCCTGCCTCCTCGAGCAAGTACATCCTGCTGAAACCTCGCCCTTTCGGAGCAAAATACCGCAACCATCACAATCATACAATATCTGCTTCTAGCCTCTGGACCCCACCCGCTTCAATGCCTCCTTTGCCGCTATCCGTGCTTGATTCGCGTGTGTAGTACTTCGTTCCGTTGAGCTGGTTCTGCCGTGTCCACTGGCCTCATCGCTGGAGGTTCTCTGGTTGTTGCTCGAGGACTCGCGGGACGATTTGTGGGAGCGGGAGCTTCGCCGTCTATCTAGGAGGCTAGGTCTCGTGGCTAGCCTGCCGCCTTCTGCACCGATTTGCTCTTCCTCAAAGCGGGTTCCGAGCGTATTGGCTTCGTCTTTGCCTGGTGACTTCTGGATATCGCCGTCAAGCATCTGGTCTCGCTTATTCGAAGGCCCTGCGGTGACTGATGCCATCGAAGCTTGTTTGTCTGACGAAAGGGGGCGCTCAAGAGGGGAAGCCCCGGGACCGCATAAGTAGCCATCGTTTCCGTAGGCAAAGTTAGCAGTGCCTGACAGGGCGTGCAGCTGGACGCTATCTTCTCCAGCATCGAAAGAGAAGTCTCTCCTGTGGCGGCGGGCCCCTGAGGTTCTACGGGCAGTCGTGGCTGTCATGCCATCCAGGTCAGTACCCATCGGCCGCTCATCTGTCCGTGTACCCGTCGCGGCCGTATCAATGCCGGCACCAGGTGCGCCTTCCTGCCGATAATTCGTGCCGTCATGCTCAATCTTTCCGGTTACGGTGGTTTTCATTGCGGTCGATTCAGGGGTGATTATCTTCGCCGTTTGTGCTGCTCGGCGTGATAGTCGAGACTTGGTAGACTCCAAGCCAGACAACTTGGCTGTCTCCTGAACCGATGCTGACTTGTACGCTTCCTCCTCCTCTGAACTGTCCCATTCCACGTTGGCCGGCGGGAATAGGTGCTTCTTCTTCCCACGTTCGGAGGCTCGTTGCTGTCGTCGCTCAGCCTTTCTCAGCCCCTTGCTCAGTTCAACATCGGCGTTGTCATCTAGATTAACTTGCATTGACACTGAGCTATTAGAATCTCCACGGTAGACAATGAGAAGGCAGGCTTTTCTGTGTACTTACAGAAGGTCCGATGATTCAGGCGGGGACTTCCAGAGCCCACGGAGACCCGTGGATTATCCAGGCTGTCAACCTTGTTGGGGCTGTCATCACCTGCGCGTACCTGATTAGTAAGTGTGATAAGAGTGCTAACCGCTGTTCAAGTGTGATCTACCTTTATGGGGGCTCTCCTTGGCCTTCTCGATCCTGGCCTTGAAGAGTCGAGAGGATCTTGCGCTTCTGTCGACGAGACTGCCAGACCTGGCCAGGACCACTGCACCGACACCTGCAGGGGCTACATCGACGAGGACGAGTTCCATACGTTTGATCTCAGCGCGGAAGTCGGCCTCTTTCAACTCCCATTCCTCAGACATCTTCGTGAATTCTTCGAGACTCTTCAACTTTGTCTCCTTCTCCTCTGCGAGCTCCTGCTCTGTCTTCTCCAGCCGCTCCTGAAGATTCCAATAGCCCTCCAACAGATGAAGGATGTAAGAGTTATACTCTCTGGGAACCGGATCGAGGACGTTCTTGGTCATCATCGTGCGGTGCAGAGCATTGATCATCTGCTCCAGAGACAGGGCACGTTCTGTCTCATCTCGCTCTTGATACCAGACTGTCTCGGTCGGCTCAGTTGGCTCTGCTGGTGATGGCGACAGCCGATGAGAAGACGACTGCGAGCCGTCTGATCTGATGCTTGGGCAGTGACTCGTTCCCAACCTAGCAGCACTCAGAACATCGAGACTCGCAATGCGGGGGATGGGCTTCCACTGGCGTGATCGGATAGATGGAACACCGAGGTGTACAGCAGATTCTTCTTCATCGGGGGGCAGATTGCTGAGGTTAAGCTCTGATCTTCTTCGCCGGGGAGGCAGGGGTTTTGACCATAGGAAGTCCGCCATGTCGGTTGATAGCGGAAATCCTTCGACGGCTAGGCTATGCTAGTGATGAGGTGTGTCAACAAATCGATATCGCGTACCGCGGGATCAAGAAAACCAACGTAGTGAGGTGCAACGAAGGCTGTGAGTTTGCAAGGAGCCCACAAGAGACGTGGAATTAATGATAATGTCCAGTGAACGTGCGACGCGCGCCTCGATTATTGTTGACGAACCAAATTTGCCTTATTGGAAAGGTGAAAGTCCTGCTGAAATGAGAGGACTGGAAAGAGTTCGGCTTCTCGGTTGAAATTCCCGTGAGTGAGAGTGAAGTGAAGAATGAGATATGAAGGTGAAGTTTGTATGAGATACCGCGATGTATGTGGACGGGAAGAAGTAGCGGGCAAGAGCAGACGAGGGACCGAAGTCAGGCGCGTTCAGCTGATTGAAAGCTGCGAGCGCATCAGACCAGGCGGGCCTTCCTTCATTGCTACTCGATGAGAGAACCTCAAGAAAGGGCAGGATCGCCTCTTGCCCTGCTCCGCCGCGGCTCCCCAAACAACGTCTTCCTTCATCTGAGTCGTACCGATATTCTGTTCTCGAGGATGAATACACAAGAGGCGCCATCCAACGATAGCTTGAAAGCGTGGAAATGTGCCCATGCCCCCTACCCAACTGTAGACGCGTCAGAGTTGAACGGCCGTCCCAAACCCAATGCAACCTCCTTCGAAAACCGTGAGAACTCTAGCGAATCACCATGTACGCGGCCTCGTGGATAGATTCACACAACGAAATACCCGACTTAGAACATACCAATTGCTGCAAAAATGTTCATTTTCTACGGCGCTGGCCCATGGCGAAATTTCAGACCTCTATGGTATCTAATGAACAGCGAACGCCGTCCGCTGTTTTCCCAAACTCGTCGTAAAATAGTCTCCTTCGTCCTGCCAACTGGAAAATGTTTGCGTACTCGCCCAAAGTCTTGAAGTACTACGAGAACAGGTCCTCGGCTTTCTGCCGCCGACGGCCACGGCCCTCCAACTTGTCGGCGAAGAGTTCTTTTCCGGTATTGCCGCCACCTCCAAAGCGGCTCGGGAACAGCTCCTTGACGTTCGCACCCGCCGCGCCCTTGATGGAAAATCCAGCACCGGAACCCGTGGTGTCGGTTCTGTCCTGATCGAATAGGTCCTTCTTGCCGGCGCGATCGTTGCTCATGCTCATCTTTTGCTGCACGATTCGCGTGGCTTCATCCGCGCCGTCCATAACCCTGTCCATATGCGTCTTGCCCATCGACGAGCCCTTTGTGGGAAACAATTCCCTGGAATTGTTGTCCTCGGCCAGACGATCCCTGATACCGGACGCCCTTTCCCTGTTGTTTCGGTTGCTGGCCCTCGGCGCGCGTGCTGCCTCTACATCCATTGCTGCATCACCATTGAGATCCCGCATGGGTGAAGCAGAACGATTCCGTTGTCGCTTTCCTGCTCCTGATAACCGACTGGGGAACAGCTCCTTTTCCTGATTGCGAGACGAGTAGGACCGCTCTTCGCGCGACGTCGAGTCTCTTGAGCGAGATCTCGGGTGACGTGCTGGCCTGCGGTCTGCCAGTGTGTCCTCATCGTCGTCGTACATGCTCGCGTGGAACAGCTCGGGGCTCGAGTCTCGGCCACGTTGGTTTCTTCCACGGTCATTGCGGCGGCGGTCATCTCCGTCCCGATTGCGATATCTGTTCCTGTTTCCCTCTCGTCGTCTTCTCTCCTCTGGGTCGAATTCAGGGTGCAGCAGGTAGAATCGGCTTCGCTCGGCGGCGCCTCGAACCTTCCTGTCGGAAACCACGGCGAACCGGATCTGGAGATTGACATCTGGGTGAGATGCGACTGCCTTGGCTGGAATCGTCTCTTTGGGAGGCAATTGAGTCACGTCGGCAATTTCGATGGCGCTCAAAGCTGCTAGAGCCTCCTGCGCCGTACTTTCCGACCCAAAGAGTAGGTTTGCGGATTCATCATCGATCCACTCAACTCTCTCTGGAGTACCAAAGTGACTCTTAACATAGCTTTTGATGTCGTCCGTGGTCAATGTGTCCAAGCCTCGAATGTGTACCTTGTTCCGTACGATAGTCGAATCTTCTAGGTCGCGTTCGTTCGAGGGAGAAGGTGCTATGGCGGGTTGTGTGATGCTCTGTTGACGTTTTAGGTTAGCAAGCAAGCAGAAGAGATGCGAGAGGCTCTGTCAGGCACGCTGCGTACTGTGTGGTCATCAATTGTCGCCGTCGGAGGTGCAAAACCGTCCGCGACATCGTCCATGTTGATATCGTAATCCATGGCGATCCCGCTCTTGATTTAATCAGCGACGGCGTGCGCTTATGTTGTGGAGGGGCGAGAATGAAGAAGTAGATCGCGAGATGCTCGACGCGCTCGCGAGAAACAAAGCTTCTTCGGTTGTAATCGAGCACTTCGAAAGGGAAGGCGTAGCTGTGATACTTCTTTCCCAGACTCAGCGGTGGTAAGTTTCTAGAGGAACGAGTTGACTTGATTTAAGAGAAAGTAAAGAGGAAGTACGTGGTCAAAGGACTATTGACCAACCCGACGTCTACTCGACGGAGCTTGGAGCTTCGGCCGCTTAGTGTTTGTGGAGAATGAGGCTGACCGTGCTGAGCGGCACCATTTCCACTTTTGGTTTAGTTGACACGGGGTGGCAGACACTTTTTTCGGCACCTCCCGGATCTCACCGGCTCCGAGTCCTGCCTTGCCAGCCAGTTCAACTTCCGGCTGGTCCGAATGTCCTCCGATCCGGCATTTTCCGGCAAACCAACATGCAAACCAACATGTAAACCAACATTCATTTCACAGGCAGGAGCTATCGATTTTGCGCAAATAACAACCAGCCTCCACACCGAAAGTCTGCAGTTGCATCGCACCTCAAATTAAGCACAGCAGCGTGACAGATTACTTTTGTTCAACAGACCCAGACTATCCTAGACTATCAACTAAGCTACCCAAAGGACTTTTTTTCTCTTTCCGCATCCCCAAAGCCCCTGTGCATATGTGTGAAACTGACAAGAATAGTGCTTCTTTGTGCCTTCAGGCGTACATAAATGAAATGGGTATAAATGTCCTCTATCAGGTGGATCGACCTTCTATCGTCTCGAAAGACCTCGTTCGTGGAGCATTGGCGCCAGTGCAGCGCGCAGCGCGCAACATTCGCCACTGCTGCTTCGAACAGGCGGCCCTGGACGCCAGCCACTCGTCTAAAATGCAGTAAAAACATATCCCACAGGCCAAAGCTAGGCGGCGAGGGGGGAAGTAATGGTAAGGAAAAGAGACCAAGTGTCTCACACTGTCTCCAAACGCCTGCGCGATTCAACTAGACTAGATAGACAAGTGGTCCGGGGTGTCTTGGTTCGAGAGCCGTCGGAATCGCCGCCTGTCGTTGCAGTCGTTAAGCCAGCTGTCCGCGACATCTCGGATGCCGCTCGTTTCAAGTTTGGGAGACTCGGAACAATGTCTCCGGCGGAAGGTCGATCATGCTCTTCCATACGGTCGTCTTCGACTGGGTCGTTTGGATCCAAGAAATGATCGTGAGTCCAGCAATTCTCGAGACCTTCTATGAATACTGGAGAATTTCGTAGAAAGTGCCATGAAAATTTGTCCTGGCGCAGGGCTATATATAGAGAATCGATCTTGCCGTTGGCCTCGCAAACACCGCAGAATCTCTTAAGAAAGTTGAGATCATAGTCGCAGTCGACGAGTCTCGAGTCCAGGGGCCTGAGCATGGGAAGCCCTTGGAGCTTTTCTGCGTCGCAAAGCTTGGCCTGTAGAGGCATCCAGGATCGTCCTCTGAGTAGGCTGCCGAAAGACTTTGTAACAGCCTCAACGAAAGAGTCACTATCTGGGCCGCCAACTACCACAGTCCGGTGAAGCCCTCGGGATAAGCAGCGCTTGTAGGCGTTGGTGTCTCTTTCGAATGGAAAAGGCTGAGAGGCTGTCGGAAGAAGTGAGATATGAACTGTCCAGGCCCCGCAGTTGCTTGAGCTGATGTCAGAATCAGTGGCGCTCATGGCTGGCGAAATATGGGCAGCTGCGTGCGTGTCACTTAGATGGACCCCGAACTCGGGCTGTGGGTATAGCGTGGCTCCCAGCGGCGGGGGTTGCGGGTTGGAGGCCATCACAACGTCTGACCGTAACAAGGTTGTTTCCTCTGTCGTGTCCGAGACTTGGCCACTTCGACTGGCCAAAGAATCATGATCCGCCTCCAACTGTTCCAGCCTCTCTTCGATGCTCTCGTCGGCGTCGAACAGCTCCATTTGTCGATTGCTGACGCTTCCCAACTGTACGTCAACACGTTCCATGTGTTCTGACTGAGAACGTAGGGATTCCCGAAGATGACAGGTTTGGCGCTCAAGCTGCTCCACAGACTGCCAAACTCTGTTGATATTTCGATAAGACCCCTTGATTTCCTGACCTATCTCTTCACGGCTCTTGTCGACGAGGTCTTCCAGCTCGCTCACCCTGGCAACAACGGTTCCAAGGCCACCTTGTCTCTGCTGGTCAAGTTGATCTTCGAGAGCCTGAAGTCGCTGCTTCAGAAGCTCAACCTCCTCTCTGGTAGATGATGGTTCAGGGGTCTTGACATGGTAGCAGGCCATGTGTCCACAGTCGCAACTGGCACCGGGCGTGGATCGGTTCAGAGAAAAGTGAACGCAAGCGCATCGTTGGCCTTTGATGCCAGGGACCAACAATATATAGCGGCACTGACCCTGGGGCAGAGATCTCTCATCGACGCGGCCAGTTGGGCCCTGCAACGGCGAGGGAGATGAAGTCGTCGACATGAAGGGTGAGTTGAGGCTGGTGTTCTAAGTGGGCAAGCCTGCTTCAGATGAGACCGGCGGCTGCTAAAACAGCAGGGTTGAGTAAAGTGGGACTACAGTCGAGCGTGCCAGTGACTATTTGGGCGAATTAACTCAGAGAGGTCGAGCGGGAGACACTGAATACGATGCAGTGAAGCTGAATGGTTGAGCCATGGAATAGATGGCGGATGTTGATAGTTGAAGGCCAGCGATGGTGGTTGGAACTGGAGAAGACCAACCAAGAAGCAAGGGCTTGATAAGGTAAGGTAGCGAAGGGTGAGTAAACAGAAAGGGAAGCCGGATGTTGTGAGGGTTGGCGGGGATGGCTCTTTAGATAGCAGGCCAAAAACCGGGAGGTGGACCGGGACCGGGAAGATCAAGGCGTGGTGGGTCTGGGCGAAGTGCCTAGATTCGGGGTTCGACGTCTGGGGTAGAAAATCAGGAACCGAGCTGGGACGTGCGATACGCGACGAGATGGGTATCTCGTCGTACAGCAGAAGAAGCACGGGATGACGGGGCCAGCGGGGCGGAGGAGTGAGAATAAGATACGGATAGCGATGGCAGGACTTGCGATTGTGCGGGCAACATGTGTTGTGGACGTGGACGTGACTGTTTGTTGGTGCTGGAAGACAATGACTGTACTCCGTACTCAGTTTGAGCAACGAAGGCCGATGGGAATGACTGGGGCTGAGCTTAGGAAGACTAAAGTCGGGAGAGTCATGGTATCGTAAGGTAGACAAGGCGATTGTAATACATGAGAGGCGGCGATTCAGGTTGAGAATAGGAAGGGCGAGGGTGAAGGTAGTGGGCCTCGAGAGGTGGACGGGTAAAAGTTGCAGACGTGGGCGGAGCGGAAAGGAAGTGGCATTGGATGGAGATAAAAAGGCGTGTCGTGTGAAGGGGCAAGGGGGGGTGGGCAGGCCGCAGGGTGACAGGGGGGGAGTCTAGGGGAGAAAAGCCGAGAAGGGGAGCGGTTTGTCAAGTTTTGCAGCACCTATTCGTTTGAATACACTCCCACAGTACAATCTGGACCAGGGGGTGTGGGATTTCCGACGTGCAAAGGAAGGAGGCTTGGGAAGAGAGAGACGACCGAAGATATGACAACAAAAGATAAAAAGTCAGGTAGGTAGCTTCCGTGGTGAGGACGGCGAGGCGAGGTCTAATTCCGTAGGGAGGGATGGGCGCGATGCAGCGCATTGCAGTGCAGATGGGCCATGTCAGATATCCGTAAATGATTCGAGGGCCGGATTCGTCAGGGCCGGGAAGAATGAGGGAATTGGAGAGTGAACGGGAAGGGGTCCAGTTCGTCGCAAAGTGCGAAAGGGCGAGGCTGGCCTGATTAGGTTCCGGCTGCCCGTACGACGTGACTGAGATGGCTCTAAGGCACTACTTCCTGTTGTAGTTCCCGTATCTTCCAAATTCTATTTCTCTCTCTCTCTCTCTCGCTGTCTGTCCCTTCCTCTCATTTTCTTTTGGACCATCACTCTCGACCTCACCTCAGTATGAGTGTGCGAGTGTGCGAGTGTGCGGATACACTACTACATCATACGGGGAAGCGGGAAGCGGCAGGCGGGAAAGTGGATTATTCGCGCGGGATTGGGGGTGAATGGGCCAACTGGGGGAACGGGGGGGGGGGGGGGGAGAAGGGGGAGGGGCCGAGGGTATGATTTCATTCGCAGGGGAAACATGAAGGTTGGGGGCTTACTTACCTAATCTAAGCCCAAGGGTACGTTCATTCCATTCGCACTGGCCCCCTTCCCTGGAAAGTTAATCAAAGATACATCACCTGCGAACGGAACAGTACCCGGGGTTTAGCTGAGAGATACTCTGAACTTAAAGTACCTCTCACCACGAGAGATACTTGCGGGAACTGGCAGACGAGATAATAAACAGGAATCCCACACCACCAGGCGTGGCATGCCGCGCCGTTTTCGACATGACAGTTCAGGTTATCAATCCCATCACCTCAACCAACCCCCAAACACATCATGTCAGGGCCAAACCATCAACACCAGCGACACGGTGGCGAGATGTTGCGCATGTCTGGGTACACTGCACATCCACAATAGTCACTCGGAGAAGGTAGTGACGATGATGGTTAAGTAAGGTAAAAAAAACCTAGAAAGGGCAAGATACCAACGTTGGCCTTGACCTCACCCGACATCCGTAGCTCGCACGAAATTCGCCGCCATCGTGCCGACATCTTCACTCACGCCAGACCATTGCCATGTGGTGCAAGACGGTTATTCCTGGATTCGTCAAGGTACCCAAGGCAATCACCCAGGGAAAAGGAAGAGTCCTCCCACGCTCTCCCGCCAGCGCCCACCCATGTGCGCCCGTCAGATGGTCGAGAAACAGCCTCTGAGTGGTGGATGTGGGGGACCAACCAGATAAGACGCACTGCAACCATTAAAGTCTTACCAACCCAATGGAAGGCGCAGATATCCTCCATGTGTGCGGCGTGCCTGCTCAGTGCCTTACCTTGCGAGTTCCTGCTACCCTTGGGTACCGGTTTCCATGGGTATCGATTATTCACATGTGCAATCATGTCTTGTCCCCCTTCCACATCCTCCCGTGAGAGCATGGAACGTCTGCGGGCGCTGGTGAGCAGGGGTCCAATTGCAGCCGGCCGGTTCGGACTTGCAATTAGGTACTCTGTATTCAACCATACTAGTTTCCGGCGCTCGACACCTGATGGACCGAAATCGCTCAGTGGTCGGGTCAATCTTGACTCCCCATTATCTACTGACAATCACGCACCTCGTGACACTTAATGGTGGGTGTTTATTAGGTAATTATGTAAGTATCTATACAAAGTACTCCGTAGCTACGAACGTTACTTTAACTTATACGCACCTTTCCATTGATCAGGAACGCGCGCACAAGAGAGACCTAAGGGTAGAGCCGCGTGGGTCACACCTGCCGACTGCCAAATCCCGGCACCCCGTCACGTCCTTTCTTTCTCAGCATGATGGCATTCCCGCCGACTTTCGGCCATGCGGTCCAAAACTTCAGATAGAAACCCTGCGATAATACAGCCAGCCTCACATGCGCAGATTGGCATGACTCTCTCTCTCTCTAGTGTACTGATACCCATGTCTCTTCTGTTTTCGAGACATCTTTCCCTTCCTTTGGGCTTACCACAACATTCCCACCTACCTAGGCAATGGGACAATGAGACACCAGTATTGCGACGATGCATGCATCGCCCCGCCATCCGTTGCTGTGTACTTCGTACACATGGAGTAGAGACCTACCTCACCGATGCACATTCATGCTCTGCTGTGCAGCCTGTGTTATCTGCACAGATGCCGCCAATCGCCTTGCTATCTGCATCTCTACCTTAGTTTCATCCAGATCAACGAGACCGACCGCCCCGAGCTGCCGACGTCACGTCCTGCTGCTTTCGCAAAGTTAAAGAACGAAGAATGTCAACCCAACTTGACATTATACGTCGATGTACAAAGTATTTCACCGAGCTTTGGACACAATCGCGAGACTCGGTGAGACCTCCCGAGCATGCTATTGGTCAACTGTCTGCCATGGCGACTGGCTTCCTTGCGGAAACGCCATCCGATCCCGACCTTTATTCGAACCCAACGCGCCGACTCACGGCTCATCCCAGACAGACAGACCAACCCCTGTTGGTGCTTGTAATCCTGGATTTTTGGAAGCCCTGCTTTGGTCCCTGGCCTGCCTGACCCGTCTGCCTTATCAACGATTCAACGCCTTTCTCGGCGGATAACGGATGCCAACCCGATATGCTCGATTAACTCACCGCCGCAGCGCTGAGCGAGGCCGCCCATCATCCATGCTATCGAGGCAGGGATGTCAAGCGTGGCACGCGTGGCAAGCAGCAAGCTCAAGCCACATGCAATTGACATATGCCAACCGGAATTTTCATGTTTGACGGTATGCCAACGAGTTATGCTTCTTTGATAACATGTAATTTGAACAAAACGGCAGACCGAATGCAAATCTTCAACCTCTTTTCTGACGACTAAGACCTGCGGCAGCCTGGCCGTTTGCATCATACCTCGAAAGGGCTCAGTGTCGTTACCTCTGCAAGTCAAAACGCGTGTTGCGCCTGTTGGCTTTTGATCGTTATGCTCATTCCGAAACCGAGCTGAAGCTATATAGTGGGAATGATAGCTCAGCTGTGCCTATTGTGTCTTGCTGTTCATCGTGGACTATATAGGATTCATCTTCGACGCAGAGGTATTGCGTTCTCCCGTGGTATCCACCGATTGTAGTCATTCGTGAAATGCCTGCAAACGACTAGGAAGTCCGTACCTACATGTCAGCAATATCGTGATGATAACGTTGGCGGAATCCACTTGCCTGTGGCCTCTTTTGGTCTCCTCGCACATTTCCGACGCGATAATCCTCGCCCCGTGTCTCGTCGACGCTTTACTCGAGTTGACAAAAGGAATACAGGTATTCCTTCCAGTAATCCCACAGCATTGCCGGCAAATTCGCCGGTGATGTACCAGGATTGTTTGGTGCGGCGGTTACGGGACCAACCAAAAGGCATCATTTTCCGTGGTTCCCAACAGCGCGCCCTCGGCCAATGGCCCAGCCTCGCCCATTCTCACAAATGCCTGGCGTCCCCTCATCAAGATCGTGAGGAGATGGATTGGAAGTACTCCGTAGAGCCATCCGAAACGCAGCGCTCATCTCCACCTGCTGCCTGAAGCCAAAATAAGCCCGACTCGGCCAAATAACAAGAGCTGAAGATGGCCGGCTTTGGCGACACCATCGACTCACTCTTGGAGACATATTCCAAGTGTCTGTCTTTACTGAAGGGGTTGAAAGGGGCGCGCAACAGCAGGCAACCTCGACAACTTCGAAGGAGCCTTCGCTCTGACAGGTCCAAGGTCCAAAGCGTATACTCCTCGAAGCTGTCCGTGGCTGGGACTCATCTTGAAAAGGGCGATGGTACGTGTACTTGCGTGCCGAAGCTTCGCAGACTCATAAGCTAACATATTTCAAAAGCTGTGGCTCGGTCTTCCGTGCGAAGAGTTATCAAGCGTCTGACATCGGCCACGGCTAACTTGCTTCATCTCATGACGAGAGGCCAGAACCCCGTCATTGACTACCAGTCGCTAAAGACTCTATCCAACTCATCACGTGTTGACGCTGTCAAAGCAATCAATGACCTGTCGCAAAGACTTAGCACCTCGTCTGAAGTCTCACTCGTCCGGGTCAAGCAAGAAGAGCAAGCGTCCGAAGAGGATACTTGCTGCAGACAGCAAGCCCAAGTTGAGGGACAAGGAAGCCTCGGGGCGCAAACTCCTCAAAGCTACAGCGGAAGGTGCTCAACCGGAGACGAAACCAGCAGAACCTGTCTATATGCAGCAATTGAAGACAGAGAAACGCATGTCCATGGCGACGATGTCATCAGGGAGCACCAAGCTGGGCGAGATTCTGCCCAACAAGTTGCGACGAAGGCCGTCGGAAAAGCCGGTGCCGATAGACCAGTTCAGTGTTGCGCCAACATATCCGTTGAGACCCTTCCATCAACCGGAAGTCAAACGCAAGAGACTATGGGGGTTGTTCGGATGACGATCGTCTTGGTGAATGGCGTTTGCTCCGTATCCTGGGAGCAATGGGATGAGGTCTGCATGAGGCACAACGTGTGAGGAAGGGTGAAAGTTGGACCCGAACAACCACGGCGGGAAATAATGGTATGATATATGACCCATGAAAGCAACGATACAGGCGACCTATGACGCTGATGCAAGCGAATGGGCGGGCCAGAGATGGACACCAACAGCACACGGGTTTTGGGCGAGGAGCATAGCCTTGCGATCCAATCGCGGGGTAGAAGCAAATATATACAGATTGATGATGAAGGAAACCCTCGACCTAAGCCGCACCAGGGGACTTGCAGCTACACGAAGTAGAGACGGCAAAGTCGTGTGACTTTGAATATTGTGAAACCTTTTGATTATATCAATCAACCATGCCTCACCTTGATGTCGGAAGAGGTTAACACAATCCGCGCCGCTGGCAAAAAGCCACACTTAGAACAATAAAATAAAAACAGTAAAGAAAGCCAACAGCCTTCAGGGCACTCCAAGCCCCAAAGTAGTCTCAAGTATCACTGCACGTAATCTGTGCAGAGGACTACAAGCGGGATACATAAGCTGACAGCGCTGAACGTCACTGGCTCTGCCCCACCATCCACATCGACGTCGATTCCCCATCCACCTCGAATAGGCCTAAGCGTGTCTTCAACTCGCTATCGCCTTTCGCAACGTGCTCACACGACGACGCCTGGGACGACGGCCGAACACCTCAACTCAATCGCTGGCTGTCGCCTGAGATCTACCGCCACTGATTCGCCGGTTCTAGGTACAGAGGAGCGGCAGAACATGCAACACCGCCCCTACTAAATCGCTCCTACACATTTCTCGCTGCCGACGCCGCCCCTCACCTCACGATGCCTTCAGATCCCGCTGCCAACCTCAGCGCCCTGCTGCGCGCAGCTTCCATCGAAGACCACGAAGAGGTCCTCAAGGCCGCCACTGCTTCTCTGAAAGCATCCAAGACCGACATCGTCGCCCAACGCACCCGCGTTGCTGCCCTCCTCAAGCTCGACCGCTTCGACGACGCCCTCCGTGCGATTGCCGACGGCGGCACCAAACTCGAGGACGCTAGCCTTTTGGAAAAGGCCTATGCGCTTTATAAGACGGGAAAGTTGCAAGAGGCCCGCGAGGTCGCCAATTCTAAGCCCCAGCGGAGTTTCCGCCATCTGGTTGCCCAGGTGGCTTACCGAGCCGAAGACTTCAAGGACGCGCTCGACGTCTATAGCAGCCTGTTGGAGGACGAACAAGGAGAGGAGAGCGATCTCAAGATCAATCAGTTGGCGTCCGCCGCCCAGCTGGAGTGGAAGCTTTCCAACAGCCTCGACGGAGGGGACACGCCTATTCCCACTGCTGAGGATGCCGACACCTTTGAGCTTGCCTACAACGTTGCCTGTGGCATGATTGCTCGCGGCGAGCTTTCCAATGCCACGATGCTGCTCCAGAAAGCCCTGCGCCTCTGCGACGAATCCGAAGAGCTCTCCGAAGACGATAAGAAGGCCGAGATGACTCCCATCATGGTCCAGCAGGTGTATGTCTACACTAGGTTAGGCAAAACCGAGGAAGCTCTCACGATCCAGAAGCGTCTATCCATTTCAGAGTGAGTTTACTCGGATCGCTCCTTAAGCTTACTTGCTGACCAACTTGACCTAGTGACTCTGATGCTGAGTCTAAACTGATTGCGCTGAACAACACCTCAGCTCTTGCGACTGAGGTGGATAACCCGTATCTGGCCCAGCGCAAGTTCGACACCGCAGCAGCTCTCACCAAGCAGGCGAAGCTATTCAAGTATCAAGAAATTCAGTTGGAGCAGAACAAGTACATTCTTGGCCTGCAAGCTCAAAAGTTTGATGGCGTGTATGAGAAGTCGTCAAAGGCACTTGCAAAGGCTTCGCCAACGGTATCTGTTGACACCAACGGCCTTTCAGCCATCAATGCTACAGCCTTTGCTTTGCGTCACTCCAAGGCGGTCGACGCAAAGGAGGTTCTCCCTCTGATTGAGAAGCGTCCCACAGATGTCGGCTTGCTCCTCACCATAATACAGCTGTACCTCACAGCAAACAATCCCGGTGCTGCGCTATCCGTCCTTGAACGCTTCCTGCAGAACCTGGAGAAACAGGGCACATCGGAAGTGCGCTTCTCTCCCGGCTTGGTTGCCTTGACTGTCTCTCTCTACAGACAGCAGGGCCGCCACAGCAACATACGATCAGAGCTAGCAAAGGCATCGTCTTTCTGGGAGAAGCGCGACGGCCGCCACGTCGACTCCCTCCTCCGTGGCGCCGGCTCGGAGCTCCTCAAGTCATCTGAGCCCACTGATCTTGCAGCTGCCGGCGCTGCGTTTGAGAAGCTCTGCCAGAAGCCCACTGCGGACCCTTTGGCCGCCGCCGGCCTCGTGGCAGCCTTCGCCACATCAGACAGAGCAAAAGTGACACCCCACCTCGCTGGTCTGCCCCCTATCGACGATCTCCTCCGTGGAATCGACGTCGATCAGCTCGTTAGCGGTGGTGTTGCCACCCTCGAAGCCCCGGCCAGTCAAGCCAAGAAGCGCCGCCTCGATCAACCCGCCGATGCAGGCAACAAGAAAAAGAGGAGAAGAAAGCTGCCCAAGGATTATGTCGAAGGCAAGAAGATGGACCCCGAGCGCTGGCTGCCCCTCCGCGATCGATCCTCGTACCGTCCTAAGGGTAAGAAGGGTAAGAAGAAGGCTCAGGAGGCGACGCAAGGTGGCTTCGTCAAGGAGGAGGAGACGTTGGAGTTGGCGGGTGGCGCGGGATCTGTAAAAGTCGAAAAGGCACCGACGTCGTCGTCGAACAAGAAGAAGAAGAAGGGCAAGAAATGAAGAAAGAAAGGTGCTACAGGACTGGTTGGCCCCCCCCCCCCCCCCCCCCCCTTTTCTGTTTGCCAGTGTCGAGAACTTGATGGAAGGCCGCACTTGTGTAGATCGATCGTGGGTGCACAGGTATACCAAAATTAAGAATCTCACTCTTGATCCTACCATAAAAAGAGAATAAGAAGCCCAGCACGATATTTGATTTGATAAAGAGAAGTTGATCTAAACAAGTCACTAGGCGGGAGAGGTATTGTTTGTTTGGCTGTATGTACGCCCTACTCTTGATATTTCCCTCTAATCGACCATTACAATGATGTGTAGACACCTTTCCCCACTGCCAGGAAGCCATCTATTAGACGCCTTAGTACACATCTACCACGCTAGATCGATCACACATAGCCTTTTACTTCAGAGTATGGTCGTTGACAGTAGAAAGAAGTAATTGTGAATGACAGCCAAGGAGCGCTGCCGGCCCCCATCTGCGCATCCTTTTATGATGATGCTGTCTGTCCTATGGCCACCACTCCCGCTCATGCTCATCCCTCTCTATCAAATCACTAGCTACCCCTTTTTATCGCTCGCTGGTATCTTCCATTTTCTCCTGACTCGTCTCCAGATCCGCATCATCCGATGTCAACTAGTTGTACAATGTGGGCATGGTATTTTTCATTATGAAAAGTTGCCTCTGGAATCCTGCCCCTCGCTTGAATCATAAGACCCAGCTACCTTAGGCCTTAACTGCTTGCACAGGGGGGCTAGGCAGCCGCTGCATCTCAGCACCCCTCTCGTCTTCCTCCTCTTTCTCCTCCATCTGCGGTTCCAAGGGCGTCGAAGGCTCAGACGGAGTTGCCAGTGGAGTTGCTAGCGCAGTAGATATGGGCTTTGGACTTATAATCAACTGAGGGCTGGGAATGGGCCGTGGGCTGACGATCTGAGGACTGCTCACAGCCGCCTCATTCTCTTCTTCGTCCCCGGACTCATTCTCGATTGGAGGAAGCGGCGTCCTTCTTCCCTCGGAGAAGCTGACTGCTGCCTCGCTCTCGCCATCGGACGGTACCGAAAGGTGCCCGCCAAAGGCGGGTGCTTTGGATGCGTGTGCTGAAGAGTACTTGCGGTGGAGTTCACGGAAGCTCCTGGCCGTGGCAGTGCTGGCGCTGGCGGCTGATTCTCTTCTTTCCGTCGGTTCCAGCGAATTGTTCAAAGCATCGTGGTAGTCTTCTGCGACACTGACGGGAGACGTGGGCTCGTCCTGCTTTCGCTGCTTCATACGCTCCTCGGGAGTAAGTTGCTGTAGCTCGGAGCCGAAGTTGATGACGGACGCCTTCTTTCCATGGACTACAAAACTGCCAGAGCCCCTGGTAAGCACGTCCTCACGGCTCGCGTCATCCGCGCCGCTGCCCAAGACGATTTCTTTGCCCTTTCTGCTGCGGTGGTGTGACAGATGACCAGCACTTTCTCTGAGTGTGCGTTGGAGGCTTCTCCGGATCTTGGTCTTGTCTTGCTTGTCGATTGAGCCAGGCGTATCTCGCGACTCTGAGGCATCTCCTGGTTCAGAAAAAGACCCCGTTCGCTTCCGTTCTGGAGGGATTCGCCCGCGAGAACCTGACTCGAGCAGACCGGCTTGCTGTAGTAGCGCCCGTTCATTCGCATCGACGTCGTCGTGCCGCTCATTGTCTGAAGGCTGTTCAGCGGTCTTGCCTCTCTTCTGCGTTGAATGCTGTTGCGGGCTGTAGAAAGTCGGCTCTCCAGATGACTGACTGGAGCTGGAACCAGGTCTCTGGGGCTGGCCACGCTCTGCCGACTTAGAAACCTTCGAGTCCCATGAGTTTTGATGCTTATGCGGGCTGAAAGTAGCGCTGGTAGGCGGGGTTTGATAAGCTTCAGTGACGGGAGAGTCAGGCTCTGCCTGCGGAGTTTTCGAAGGCTGGATTGTTGAGACTGCAGCAGACGACCGCCTGCGCCTGCGTGCCACGCTGTTTGCCGACACGGCGTCGAGGATAGAGGGTCTTTCCTTGGGAGAGGGTGATGTCTCACGGGGCTCTCGGCCGTTCTGAGTTGTGGTAGGAGTTAGACCCCGAAGACTCTGCTCCTCAGCTAGATCCTTCAACAGAACATCCCGATGACACATCGATTTCCACATGTCCATGCGAGTCCACTTGATCTTGACGTCCATGTGAGCTGCAGCTGACAAGATCTGATCTCTGGTTTTGCCTTGAATAGGCGACAGGATCTGAAGGTGCCGGGCGTTCCTCAGGTGTCCTTCTAATTCTTGCTCCTTGAGAGCAATCTCTTCATCAGCTTTGGCGACTGCGTCCATCATAGTTTGCCGCCGTTGCGCCTGGATAGATTCGGCCTCTTTGTGGTCAATCTTGCCTCTAACGATGCTTACATCGCCTGTTGGAGTCTGGATGACCTGAGCAGAGGCCGAACTGCCGAGTCTCCTGATGCCGCGCCGACTTTGGCCCTCGTAATTGCCTCCGACGACGCCCCTCATGCGTACACCCGACGTCGTGAAAGCCGCCGCGTAGTTAAGTTTCGCTAGCCAATCGTTCATCTCTTCCTCATTATCGGCTAGAAGAACTTCCTCCACGTAACCGCTTGGCTGGGAGTATTTGAAGGCGTTCTTATGCTTTTTATAGGTAGAATCGACGAGCGCAACGGCTTCCTTAGTCGGCAGATACCCGTCTGGTTTGAACTCCGGAAGAGGTGGTTTGAAGGTAATCGGCTCACCATCGAACCCCTGCTTGACGTGTGACTCGTACTGGTGCATTAGGTTCTTAATCCAAGTGGTGTTGCGGAAGAAGTAGAGTTGAGCGCCTGTGAGAATAGCTCCCCATTCCTGCCACGGTGACCTCGTCTTCTTCTTCTTAACATCTTTGCGCCACAGGAGCCCGACCTTGGTGATCTTGATGTCAACAACGCCCTGCGCCGCCTCGGCCGGATTGCTGGAACCCTTATCATCGCGGAAGGCATCAGGCCGAGATCTGGCCGACACGATCTGTAACACGCCGGTTCTGAAGAACGTTCTCTGGAGCTCCTTTACGTTGAGATCTTTTGCCGTCCCTAAATAGTTGTAATGGTCTTCGAGTTCCATTACGTCCTTGAGACTTGGTCGCAAGATATCCAGCTTGCCGTCTATTATAAGTGTGTAAGGATCAAGAGGCTCCCGGTTTGACCGCTTGGCCGTAGTTTCCGGTGTGCCTCCTGGGAAAATCGTCTTCCGCTTGGCCCTGTTTGCCAAAAGTCGATCGCTGTTGAGGTCTAGATCATCCTGGACATGAATGAAAGGGGTATACGTAATGTTGTCGTAAAAACAGCTCAAGACCGAATCTGAAACACCTTCTCCTTTGGTGTTTTTAAGGTAATCGGGTTGCTGCATCTTGTGCTTATTGTTCTTGTTGAAGACATCGGTGTGTAAAATAAGTAGTGAGAATGCGACGAAGTACGCCTGGTCTGGAGAGGCATATATGCCGGGGTTACATTCGTGATAACGGTTCGCAAAGGCCTGTAGACACCTGTCTATCTGCTGCGTCTCCTTTGGTAGCTCGGCCTCCATGAGCAGCTTTCGGATAGCCATATCCATTGGATACTCGAAGAAGCTGAAGCGGCGCATATAGCTGCGCAAAACTGCTATGGAGAAAGGATCACTCCCCTTAGACAACGCACTGGCAATGACTCCGCGATTCAATATCTCTTCGATTCGAGCGAGATATTTGACGGGCGTCTCATCCTCAAGCTTCTCGGGTAGAGGAATCGCTTCCCGAGCAATCTGTAGCGAGTTGTTCTTTGAGGTATTGGACCCAGGCGTTGCAGGTGTCAAGCTGCCTTGTCGACCCTGGCCAAGGTCAGAGTTTTGGCGCAGTCGGTTCAGCCCAAATAGGTCACCGAAGCTTTTACGCCCGACCGACGTCGATACTCGACCATTTCCCGGGTCAAGATGACCATCCGTAGAATCTCTTCCTAGAGAACTCATGGTTGAAGATCTGCCACGGCGCTGTAAACGAGCACGCGTAGGAGAGGACTGTCCCGAATTCGTCGATCCTGGTCTAAACAGAGCGGTAGCGGGTGAAGGATTGGGCTTCGCTAACTGCTCATGCGCAGAGGACGCCACAGAATTAGCCCGAGTGCTGTGACTCGAATGAGGCCGCGAGCCTTGTTGAGGACGAGGGGTTCCCGCCCTGGAAGTAGAAGCAGCGGCTGGCTGGGAGCCCGCAAGAGACGAAGATGACGTGGCGGGGTTATCCATCGAAGGTTTGCCCTTTTGTGGTAAATGAGACAAGTCGAACATTGGTGCTGCAGCCTTGGGTTTCCTTCGGGGTAGGCGAAAGAAGCTCGAGCTTGAGGGCACCGGAGGCGAGTTGCCTATGGTGTTTGTGGCATATAAATGTTCTCCGGAGCTAGCGTCTGAGCGCGACGATTCTGAGGCTCGATTGTTGGGAAGTGATAGGTTGGGAACGTCATGATGCTCTCCATTCGTCGGCGATCTCGAAGATGCTGGGCGGCCAGGCTCTTCAAAGGTCACAAGGGTTGGGCGATTTCTCGATGCCATGTCTTCCAATCCCGTCTTCCTTCTTGTTGATTTCCATGTCATAGCCCTTCCGCCTCCATCCTCGCTATGTCTTGGTAATTCGCCTGAGCGTCGAAAGCGGTCCGCGAGTCGCATGCGCGATTGCTTCTTCTGGGGAACCTGGAGATCGGCGGTGGGAGCTGTTGTGATAATTTCAGGGGCTATTGTAGCTGGTTAGCAGAATGATCTTGGCAAGGCCCAATATATATATATATTAAACTTGCGTAGGTGAGAGCCATTTGGGGGATTGGTTGGGAGCAACGTACGGCGAGGTACAGGAGGGGGCTTTTCGGCCTGCTGTTTAGCCCTGACAGACAATTGCGAGTCGGATGCATTGCGAAACCTCAATATGGAGAAACGACGGTGCTTTGGTGTCTCTTCCTGGATAGGAGGGGTATCTGGTCGCGCGTCTGGGTCATTGGGATTCGGTGGGTTGAGAGCGCCATCATCATCGTCGGATAGTCTAGGTACGGCTAAAGACGCAGAGGGAGGTTCTCGTATCGAAGCGGACACAGAGGGTCGTGGTTGTTCCCCTTGAGGTTCCTGGTCCTGTTCCTGCTTCTTCTCCTGCTCCTGCATCAGCTGTGAGGGCGGTAGCGGCGGCGGTAGCGATGGTGGTAGTTTGAGTTCGGGGATCGGATTCGACAGGTCGCCGAGTTGTTGCTTCTTGTGCTGTTGTGATTGGGGTCGGGAGGGTGACTGCTGCGGCTGCGGCGGCGGTAGCTGGTCTGACTGTTGATGGTGGGATTGAGGTCGCTGGGGAGGGAAGTGCTGGGGAAGCGGCGGAAGCTGGGGCGCAGTCTCAGTCTCAAGAATGGTATGGCGCCTCATGTCGGTCTCGCTGACCATGTTGCCGCGACGGCGTAGGAAAGGCATGACGGCGATGGGTCATGGTTTGCCAGGGATATATCGTCAAAAGTGGGAGGATGACGACCGCGGTCGAGGTCACGTCTGGGCGGCGCGGTACGATGCCGTACGATCCGGACGCTAAGCCATCAGCACGAGGTGGAATTGTTGAGTACGGAGGCGGAAGACATTGGCAAGTCTAGAGGATGAGGGATGCGCGGTGGAAGTTCAACACAAAGGAGGAGAATTGGACGGTAGGGAGACCGAGTAAGCAGTGTCAAGGTGAGGTCAGGTTTGGTAAGGCCAGGCGAGACGGGGCGAGGTGAGTTAAGGTGAGGTGAGGCAAGGGTGTTGTTTATGTTAGGCTAAGCGCATTGCAACGCAAGAGACAGGATGACCGGGTTTGGGGGTAGGGGTCCTTGGTCGCTGCTGGATGTGGTAGGTAGGTAATTATCCGTAGGCTGGCACGCTGGCCCAGCCGCGCAAGGTGAGGCAAGCCTGGGCTGGAGGTACCTATTCGTGTACCTTAAGGGGCGGAGGACGAAGGGAGGGAGGCCAAGACCAGCAGGATGTGGGGGGAAAGCCGAGAAGAGAGCGAGGAGACTGAGAGAGACGTGGAGAATGGAAGAGTTCCGAGATGTGAGCACAAGGCGAGGGAGTCTAAGTGAAGTACCGGAAGTTGAAAGCAAGGCAAATAAAGAAACGTCGTCGATTGTAAAGCCGTGGTAGAGGCGCACTTATTTGGATGCAGAAAGAAGGATGGGCAATGGGGAAAAAAAGGATCAACAGGGAAAAAGTACACACAATACAACCCCATTTGGCATTGGCGTTTGCTTGCGCTGTCGTAGGCAAGTAGCGGCGTCCCGGCCTCATAGGTACCGGGGGAAAGGGGGGGCTGGTGGAAAAACAAGGGGTTTAGAAGCCCATACTGCGGAAGGCGACAGTCATAGACAACAAATAGTAGAGACACAACACAGGGGCACCTTATGGTAAGGTACTTTACAAATCACTTCAATATGGAACAGGGCACAACTTGATGCAAGGACATGCCACATCACGGGCACTCAACGGACAGCGGCGAGAAGGTTAGGTAGCTATGGATAGAGAGGGAAAAGCACCGGGCTACCTTATTACCTGGTAGACTAAGGTATTCAGAATACGCTACCTACCTGCGCTGCGACTGATAGCATCCTGGGACTGATGCAGTCGAGCCGTAGCCAACTGGGGTGGGCCGGTTCCAGGCTGAGGTGGCACGCATTTTTTTGCACACACACACGTACTCAGCAGCGGGGGGGGCTGGGCTGAAGTTCCTAGCTTCCAGTAAGTAACGTGGTAGAGAACCTAGCACGGGGCTTAGGTAACTTCCATCGGGCGAGATGCTATTAGTTTCCTTATGTATCCATTCCCATATACCTTAGGTCGTGTGCTAGGTAGTTCAGGATCCAGGTACGTTGGCTTGCGTGTCTAACATCGAACCAAGGTACCATGCGCAGGAATACACGCAGTGCATATTGGACGACGAGTGACGAATCCGTAGACAGCTAAGAAAGAATCGGACAGCGACGAATAATTAGGGGCAGGAGGACAAGCAGGGTCAGGCCTGGCGATCCTCAGACTGCCAATTTGGTGAGTAAAGGGCCATGTTGAGATGAAGCGCCAGGGCAGACACGACCAGTCTGAAATGAAGAATACGCTGGCCGGGTTGCGGTCCACCCCAATCCTCACCTCCCGACAAGTGCAAGGTCGACATCCTTAGGTAAGCCAGGGGAAGAGGTTCAGAACTTCAGGGACAATCCAGCCATTGAACTTCCAGTGCACCCGACGTTTGATTGACCCGACGGGAGTGCCTGTCCAGCCGAGGGCGAGGTGAACTTCGAAGCACCTTCTATTACCTAAGACACTGTGCCTCTTTCTTGCCTTACCTAAGCTCCCAATGTCTCAGAAAGGTACTCCGTACAAGCACCAATTCCGCTTTTCTGGTATTACCTACCTACCTCAATTGTTGTTGCCTCTTTTCCAGCGTTCCTCGCATCCCACATTCAATAAAACACACATTGGGCCGTGAGAACATCTCTGCGGATTCGCTGCGATAGTTGCATCTGCAATGCTGGAGCACAGCCACATGCTGGCTAACCAAATAGCAGCGTCCCTTTGAGGGCAATGACATGTACAGTGATCCCTGACAAGGATCGTGTTGCGACGGCCAAACCCAGTTAACCAACCTACAAGTAAGCGGCTGCCTGAGCCTGCTCCCTGCCAACTCCAAGTCCAAGGTGAGGCAAGGTCAGCCGTGCTGTTGCATTCCTTATCGCTCGCTCACTCACTTGCATTTTCCTGAATTCCGCTCCATCCTCCAGGACCCCGAGAGTGTGTCGCGACTCTATCGCTACAACGCCCCCATCATCGCAATTGACCCTCGGTCGCCTCGCCCACATCCATCCCTCCCTGACGCCGGGCAGCATTGACGTCAGTAATCTTCCACAACCGCTCATCACAACAAACTTTGTTTGTCGCCATGCGGCCTCACGTCGTTTTGTCTTCGCTGGCCAGCGTCGCCGTCCTGGTTCCCGCCGCCTCCGCTGCACGTTTCGATGCATACCCCGAATACCGCCACGACGCCTCCACCACCGCCGTGCGAGCCAAGTCTGACCTCTTTCCTTTCCTGAAGAGGCTTCGGAATGGCGTCGTTGAATTCGTCTTTGGCCCCCATCCTGCCAAAGCTAGTCACCTAACATCCCACGTCCGAACAAGCCTGCGAGATGATCACATCAATGAGGTCGTCTTGCGCTTCAACCTGACCACCGCCGAAGAAGAGACTGCCTTTGCTGCCGCCGCCGCCCGGACCTTCCTCGACATTTGGGCCTTCAACCATGAATTTGTCGATGTTCGGATTCGTCAGGACAATGTTCGATCCCTGCTCGGGCTTCTGCCCGACTCGCTGAAATCAGCTTACTCGACATTGATTTCAGATGTAGCAGCTGCTGTCTACGATACTTATCCGGCTGTCGATGTCCCGGCCCAGACCTACCGCATCCCAGATGGTCGCGCAAACCTCAAGAACGCGCAAAACGGGAACGAGAACTACTTTTTCCAAGATTATCAGAGACTGGACGTATGTGACCTTACGCCACCCGTGCAAGTTCCGCCGAGCTTGAGCTAACACATTTCTAGACTATCGTCCAATGGATGCGATTGGCCGAAGCCATGTTCCCGGCTATCACCGAAGTTATAACCATTGGGCAATCCTCTGAACAACGAGATATTCTTGGTCTCAAGGTTGGCATGAAGACAAGGGCGCCAGGGAGCGAAAAGCGAAAGACCGTCGTTGTTGCGGGAGGAATGCATGCAAGAGAGTGGATTTCCACGACAACTACCAACTACGTCGCGTGGTCCTTCATTACGGCCTTCGGCAGAGAGCCCATGATCACCAAGCTGCTGGAGCATTTCGATTTCGTCTTCATCCCGGCAGTCAACCCCGACGGCATCGAGTATACCTGGACTACAGACCGACTGTGGCGCAAGTCCCGGCAGGAGACTGGTATGTCTTGGTGCCACGGCTTCGACCTCGACCACGCCTTTGGCTATGAATGGGGTGACTACTCCGAAAATGATCCTTGCTCTGAGAGCTATGGCGGTAAACAACCATGGCAGGCGGCTGAAGCTAGAGCTGTAGCGATCTGGGCGAGGAATGCTTCGTTGGAGGATACCGAGTTTATTGGTCTCATTGACCTGCACTCCTATTCCCAACAGGTGCTATTCCCCTTTGCATACTCCTGCGATGTGGACCCGCCCAATGTCGAGAACCTCGAAGAGCTCGCAGCTGGGCTTGCCAAGGCCATCCGTCTGTCTAACGGAGAGCTGTACTCGGTTACCTCGGCCTGTGAAGGAGCCGTCGCAGGACGAGGCTCTGCACCAGGCGCCAAGCGTCTCGAGACAGGCGGTGGATCTGCCATTGACTGGTTCTACCACGAACTGCACGCGCATTACAGCTACCAGATCAAGTTGAGGGATACCGGCAGCTACGGCTTTCTTCTTCCCCGGGAAAACATCATCCCGGTTGGCGAGGAAATATTTAGCGCGATGAAGTACTTTGGAGACTATCTCCTTGGTAACAACGGAATCGAAAAGTCCGTGGGAGCCTCACCACAAACATCCGATGAACCGGATCGCAGTTTGGAGCTTCGACGACTTAGAAAGCGCAAATAGTTAGGCAGCCCAAAGGATGAACTTTGAGTCTTGATCTTCCGGCTTCGTTTGTTTCGCCTTGGGAAGAACAAGCAGAACAACAAGTGGAGACTAAGGGAGATTAGTGGCTGGGCACAGCAACCCAGGTGTACGACACGGAGTTATGGCGATGGTAGGAATTTGTTTAGGTATAATAGTCACGGTTGTACGCAGCGGTTAGCAAGCAATGGGTCGGTTCACTGGGACAATACTGCGGGACATGATGGTCGTCTATTCCCGGCATTATTTTGTTTGTATGGATTTTACAGCGGCTAGTAAAGCAAGAGATTGGATCGTGGTCCATTAAGCAGCATACGAAGTGATCAAGCCCCGTTACCAATTCATAATCATCGCGAGAGCGGCGTAGGTGGAAGTGAACTTGAGGACGGTGTCGAAGAGGAAGGAACCGATGGAGCCACTGCGCAGATGTATAGGTTAGCAAGGAATCTTCAAGGTGAAGAAATTTCCCGAAATAAGAGGAGGAGGGTGTTGCGCAACGGAAAACGCACCGAGTTCGGCCCTTGGGGCCAGCGCCGCTTGTGTAGCCAAAGGCGTAGAGGATACGGGACAAGGTCCAGCCGGCGCCGAGGACGGCGCTGGCGACGGGGAAGCGGAGGCCGGAGATGAGGAGAGCGCCGAGGAAGGAGGGCTGGTTCTCGGTGAAGTTTGCGTGGGCGCGCTGTGCTGTGGCACGGTTAACGTTAGTTGAGTGTTTTCCTTGCCGATTTTGATATACTGAGGTCTGCTCGCATCGGCTTTGAGAGTAGACGCGGGAAAGAAGGAGGAGGGGGGAGGGGAGGGGCCAGACGAGAGAACCGTACCGCAGTTGAACTGGTATGCCTTGGGGTCCTTCTCGGCCTGCTCGTTGGAGGCGTAGGGGGCCGGGTAGACGAGGCCGCTGGCCTTGCGGTATTTGCTTGTCAGGAGGACGTGGGTTGTGTTGATGAAGAAGGTTGAGGCAGCGACGAGGAGGACGTAGCTGTTTGGGAGGAATTAGTTAGCTACATGAGCTCAAGAGTATTGGGTTCCTTCTGTCCGGGAGAGAGAGAGAGAGAGAGAGAGAGAGAGAGCTTGTGATACGTACCCGTACTCGTCGGGAACCTGGAGACTGAGAGGCATGATGGCGGTAGCGTGGGAACTGGTTGGTTGGAGGTTGATTAGAATGAAGCTTTGCTGGATTATTGATCTAGGTGTTCATGCAATTGAGCAAGGTAAAGTTTTGGCGCGATGGTGTGGTACAGATTTGGCAGGCAAACGACAACGCAATGACCATAGTCTTTATATTTACTAATCTGCGACCTGAAAAGCTACGTAATGAACGTGGCCTTGCCTAGGCTGGGCTCGGGGGTCGTATCCGTACAGCTCGAGACGCCAGACGTTTTGGTCCGGGCTTTCTTTCTCCAGGTCCAGCGTCTAGGAGTCGGTCTCCGCTCCGCACTCTAATCTGGGCTACCTATTCGCATCCTTGAGCTGCCTTGCGTTCTTCGGTACGGAGTAGACAGGTTTGTCGTGTCGTTGCACCGAGCCCGGCCCTCATTTTTCTTCTAGGTGGACACAAATGCGTCCCTCGTGGTTGGACGTGGCCCCTTGGAAGAGGAAAGAATCGGCTCATCGGGGCATCTCAGGGGTGGGGAGGACGGCGACATTCTGTGCCCGATTGCCGATTATGGCTGAGATTGACCAATCACTATCTGTCCGGCGAGCTGTGAGCGGGGCCGTTTTGACGTCCTGTCGCGGACTTTGAAGCGGACTTTGGGCATACCTTAGTAATTGACTTTGCTCGAGGGAGAGAGTAACCTTCGACTCCTCCGCAGGTTACGGAATCATTGTGCTGCCTTGGGACATCTTCAACAACAAACGTGTGAAAGGAATGTGAGGTTATTCCCACGATGATATTGACTTACATGGAGCCCTGCGCAGTTGTCCAGACCGAAGTTCCTTATGAGTGATAGAGTTTGGCAGCCTTTCGGGACTTTTGCGCGTTTGACTGCGCTTCTCTCCCAATAAGATGCTGGCGGGAGTCAGCACGCCATTTTAGTACCCGCTTCGCCATGTGATCTGCCCCTAGGATCTCTGTGGTCGATGATATCTATCCGTTCCCCGGGTCTTTTACCACGAGCTCGCCAAGGACTCCGGAGGCAGACAATCTGCTGCCACATCCGAAGGCGCCGGTGACGGTAGGTAAGGTTCCAGAGTGTCGGGTCGACCGGGGCTGGGTTCTTTAACCTTTGTATCAAGGCCTGTAACGACTCAGCCGGTACACCTATCCTCGGGAGGAACCCAGTCGAGGCCCAGGCCCTGGAATACCCTCCTCTCGGCTGTCAACATGTCGGGGGCCTGCCCGAGGTCGCCGCTCTCCAGGTCGACCCAGTTGCCGTCGAGCCGGCTCCGGATGCCGCTACTGTCAAACTTGTAGCTCTTTTGCTTCTTGCAGTATCGGCGTAAGTCCCGTTGAAACGTCGTCTCCCCGCTCCAGCCCAGGACGGCGCACCCGACCGTCTTCCAAGGACTGATGATGATATCCACACGTCGATGCGGCCTCTTCCGCAATTCGTGCCCGTTCGTCGCCGGGTCCTGCCAAACCACGAGCGCTTTGTCGAGTGAATCGAAGCCGCCTCCCCTGAACTCGTTACCCTTCCAGCTGACAGGCTGTTGGCCCCGCTTGCTATTGTGCTTACTCAACACGAGCGTGTGCGTTATATGTCTAGTCTTCTCCAGGCTCACGACCAACTTGTCGACAAAGTTCAAAGTGACAGACTCGTTGGGGTGGCTCATCACCACGTCGACATCCCCACTACCTTGCTTGCCACGCCGGTAGCCGCCAACAATGACTAACTGGAAGTCCGGATGGATTCTGCGGGCGTGAGCTAGGATCGTATCGGCAATGGACTCGACTTCGGTTCGAGGTATCTTAAGCTTGAACTCGTCGTAGTACTTCACGCCAATCTGCTGCACGCGACTTAGACTGCCCCAGCCGTATTCGACGACGTCATCTAGGTCTCGCCATCCTGTATGTGCTGGTCAACAAGAGGTCCTGGCTCAGGGATGCAGCGCCACGAACCTCTTCCATAGAAGTCACGAGCTGTAGCATCACCAACTCCCCAGATGTCGTAAAATGCTTGTATGACGGCAAACCTGGGATTCGCTTGGGCTTCATCCGCCTCGGGAAGCCTACCGGTTTCCTTCCACTCGTGCCAAAGCTCGGCGATCTTAGCGCCGCAGCCAGGTAGCCTCGCAACTTCTATATGGAGCGTCAACAGATGCCGGGCCTTGGACGAAGTTCTCTCAAGTTACAAACGCTCACCTTGCGGGCTGGCGATCTCGTGAGGATATGCCGATATCGTAGCGATTGAGGTTGAATACGCTCTCACTCCTATTTGATCGCCCCCTAGTTTCCGTATGGTCCTGATCGTCTTGAGCCCATCAACGAATGCAGCATTCGGAAGATCGACCGGCGTAGATCTCTGACAAGCATAGGATGTTCTGAGATACTGCGGCACAGGTGGCAGCTCAAGCATTGAGTCATGTTCTGATGTCGTCTGTCTGATAAAACAAGGTACTGATCGGTGTGTCTCGGAAGGGGATTGCGCCTGCTTTTTCTTCTGCGGTAGGAGACTGCCCTGTATTTGAGACGCACTGTCGGTGGCAGCGCGGGACAGTATGTCACTTCCCCTAACAGTGACAGACGTGCGGTCTTCGTCCTTCTTGATGCCCTCGTAGAGAATATAGTCATGAAGCGGAAGCACCTTGCTCTGCGCAAACGAGTCTCGGAGCCACGCTAACTTCACGACCTTGACAGTGTTCGCATCAATAACGACCCTCTCGTGGGCTGACGATGTTCCGGCGAGTTGTGACGTGCCTGGCCCAAACCTCTCTCCATCTTCCGTGTACAGGGTAGAGTCGCTGTCGCTTCCAGAAGACGCCCTTTTGCGCTTCCGAGACGTGACGAGATACGTATCTGTGGCAGCTGCTACGTCCACTGGGTCTGTCTGCACCTTCTTACGCCTGAGTTCGAAAAGTGCCCTTTCTCGTTTGAAGATGTTTCCGACAATAATCTCGGCCTCGCGGATATCGTATGTAAGGCTCGGTATCTTCCCCTCGAGCTCGTGTAGTTGATCCGCCTCTAGGTGAGTGGGAAGGAGGTAGATTAATGGAAAGTCGAGTTCTGTCATGGCCCCTGACCCCAGGCGACGTGAGAGTCGCTAAACTGGACGAATTATGGCGATGCGAGGCGGCCGATCTTCTGTACTGTCATAAGTGAAATGAATACATTGTAAGTCATCGAATACTCGTCATTCCCGCGTTGGCGGCGAAGGCTGGATAAAAGTACCTCCTCACAATCCACAGTGAACTTGTCCCTAAATGTTCTTCTATCGAACGCCTGGTGGATTTGCTCGGCACTTGCACTGCAACTGAAGCTTGTCGCGGGGTTGATGTGTTGAGGCTCAGGTGCAACGCGTCAGTGATGAGAATTGAGGGACGGTAAAGTATCACTTCACGGGTACTGCGCTATGCCGGCAATTCGCTCAACTAAAGGGCGCTGACATCATCGTCCCTGCACCATATGGCTTAGCATGCATCACGCACTTCTGCCAACGACTATCTTTCCAGTAATCACCTGAATTAACTTCATCTTTCTGGTCTAGAAAAGAAGTTCTCCTTCATGTTCTATGTCCCCCACCACCGTAGTGTTCCCCGTGTGTGCTCTATTCTTACACTGACGGGATGCTTCCGTAGGCTAGAGAGAAGAGAACTTGGTACCTAGGCAAGGGGCGACGGGCAATACCGCCAACCTTTGTCAAATCCTCAGCCAGTCCCCCGTCATGATGCGGAGTCTCTCCCAGCTTTTCCGCCGTCAAGACATTCTGATGCTTTGATGTCTTCCTCGTGCTTCTAGACATCCTCAAACTCCATGTCTTCGTCACTCTCGCCATCATCGCCGTCCGCTGGCGCCTCCACCTTGACCTTCTTGACTGCTCTTCCTTCCGATTCCGGTGAGGGCTCAGCTTTTATAGCCGGTGCCGGGGTTGCGATGTTCGGCGTGACATCTTCGAAGGCGTCTTCTTCCTCATCGTCGTCATCATCTTCCTCCTCCTCCATTGCCCGCGCTGCCTCAGCTTCTTGCTCGGCCTTAAGTCGAGCGAAATAGTCATCCAGCTCTGCATGTTCTGTATTGTCTGCTGACTTTGACACAGCTCCCTTGTCGTCCACCTCCTCAACCTTGGTGGCGGGCATTGGGTTGGCCTCGGCCGAGAAGGACTCGCCCGTGACCGTACTGTTGGACATCCACGAAGGAAGCGCATTTTGCAGTGCGGCCTTCTCCTTGCGGGCCTTCTCCGCTGCCTTTTCAGCCTCTGAAAGTCCGTCCGCCGTTGAGATGCTGACTGACATGGACTTGGGTCCAACGTTATCGAGACCCTTGACGGATGTTGGTTGCAAGGACGAAACGGGGATGGTGGTTACGCTCGTGTAACTGGCGTCGCGGACAACTGGCAAGGCTTTACTGATGGCGATATCGAAGGTGTTATCCGGAACGATCATCTCGTCTATGCGCGGTAGCAATTCGGTGATAAACTTGAACTGGTTATTCAGTCGTGTCGACTGCTCGTGGCCCGTGGAGTTGCGCTCGAGATCGTGCGTGAGTGGGCCATTGCACCTGTGACAGACAAAGCCAGTAGGGCCAACGTTGTCTAGCACCTCCATTTGCGTCCATTCTGATTTGCATCGTCCACAAAAGTATTCCTTGCGTTCGCTGGCTGAGACCGTGGTGCCTTGGATTTGCTTGTCGACTGTATACACCCGCCATTTGATGGCGTCGATGGTTTGGCGGTAGTCGATATAGTAGTATGTTCGGTTGACAGGACGTGGCTTTGCCTCAGGGTTCTTGGGATCTTCTCGGTATTCTAGCCTCGTATACCTGGGTAGTCATCATCGTCAGTCTCTGAGGTTTTCGGCGAAGGAAAGGGCTCGGTCGCATGGCTTACACAGCTAGAAATCGGTCTTCTCTAAGCTTTCCACATGCCTTGTGGAGATCCTTTGTGTTCGTTGCCATCAGGTAGGCCAAGTCGTCGTCTCGAAGGCTGCCACATATTAGCAAACGTCGTATTGCAAAGCAGGACCGGCGGACGCACGCAGAGTGAATGATCAAGGCATCGATGATCAAAATGAAGCGCGTCTCGTAAAAGGCACGCATGACAGACTTGACGAGAGTCTTCGCGAGATCCAGAGGCTGCGCCATGTTTTCGACTTTATATCCAATATCGCCAGGGAAATATTGAGCGATGGTGCTTGCTCTGAGGTATGATGAGGCCGAGAGGACGTTTGCTTGGCGAACTCAGGAAGTGAAGTCCATGGCAGGGTGGGCTTTCAGCAGCAGCGACTTGCACTTGCGCATGCGCAAGCCACCAGCAGAAAGAGGCCTGTCGTTACTGCGATTCTATCGAGAGCAGGAGCCGCAAAAGATTTCAGCCTGAGAACATTGTCTTGCGAAATGAAGAGGTGGGATTGCGCCGTCTTTGACAATTGCAGTCAAATCGGACTTTGTCTTGGGAGAAAAGATCTTGGCAGCACACAGACGCTCTAAGGCGGGCTTATCCGCAGGTTGTAAGGCAAGGTAGCTCTTACCTAGGTAGCTTCTTCTAGTGCATTCGTACCTTACCCCGTACCTTGCAGGGCTAACAGGCATCCACAGCGAGCACAGGGCACTTTCGCGGAACAGCACCGGGGTGCCTCGCAAAGTTATCTATGTACGGAATAACACCACAAGCAGACGGGAGTCATATTTTGAATCTGTAGTAGGACCTTCTTGGATTTATCCGGTATAGCGATTGGACGGAATTTGAAGCAGACGTAGCAATTGATGACCAATCCCTATGCCGTCTATTATTCGTTTCTTAGGCAGGGCAAATGGAACGGTCACTTGTAAGACGGCACTGCAGACCATTTGATTTCCAGCCAAAGTAGCAGGAAGAATAGACGCTAGAATAAGAAAAACCATCCATTGACATGAAGTTCAACGTTCCACCGGCCGTGTGACAGTCCAAACTCCATTTACGACCCTTGCCGGTTCGTAACGTGGCCGCAAAGCTACCCTTGAACCGCCTAGGTAAGCTGGGATACCGGATATGAAGCAGTTGTAAGGAGCAGAGAGCTAACTTACACTCTCCTCCCCCAAATCAAAATTACCGAAAAGCCCCAAGAACGCAGAGCTGGTATCGTAACTCGTCCCTCTACTGCCCGCGCCGTGAGCCAAGAGAACCCACATCTCATCGCCCAAATGTACCAGGTTCATCCTCTCCTTGATATGTGCCTCAAAAATCTCGTCATCTTCTGCCTTAAGCATACTTTCGAAGCTGTTTTCCCGGTCAGTGAATGAAATCACAATCGCGTGTGGTGCATAACTTACATCAAGAGTTAGCGCTCTAGAACTGTTGACTTCCTGATCGCGATAAACGCCGACCAAGCTCTCACTATCTTGGAATAATCCGGTCTTGAGACTGATGACAATAAACTGCATGCCGGGACCAGCGTGCTCGCGGATATACTTCTTGATCTTGTCCACGTTGGCGTTGTCTAGCGCAGCGTCAACCTCATCCAATACGAAGAAGGGACTTGGCTGGTAGCTGTGAATCGCGAACAACAGAGCGAGAGCAGCCATTGTCTTTTCTCCTCCGGAAAGATGCTCCATGTCTCTGAATCGCTTCAGCGGCGGCATGGCGTGATACTTGATACCCGAAAGGTAGGGCGTGTCTGTATCTTCCTCAATATCGAGGTACGCTTGGCCACCGAGAGGGTACGCCTCTGATCGAGTCAGATCCTTGTACACGTGTGAGATCTGTTCTTGGATGTGCGTAAAGGCCTTGTTGAACAGCTCGTAGCGCTGAGCCTTGACGTGGTTGAACGCGTCGCGGGCCGCCTTAAGAGCCGCTCTGGAGTCCTCGAACTCCTTCTCCGTGTTCTTCAGCCTCGACTCAACGCTCTCGAGCCTCTCAATCGCCCTCATGTTAGGGTTGAGTTTCTCCAGTTCCGAAGCCAGGGATGCAATCTTATCTTGCAACTTCTCCTCGACACTCGCATCGTCAGACTGCATTAAGTGTCAGCAAGTATTCACCAGGTCACGCTATCAAGGATATGCTTACCGTCTTCATCTCCTCGTCCAGGCCATCGTAGTCAATCTCAATACCGTGGTTCTCGAGAGCAGCCGTCATCATGTCTTCGTCATCCACCTCCTCATCGACGTCCATGGCATCGGCGTCTTGCCTCAGCATGTTGTCCTCATTTGGCAAGTTGTCAAGCGAGCCCTCGAGTAAAGGCACCTGGATCTGGTCAAGCTTGCACCGTCTGAGCAACGCGAACTTGCCCGCGCTGTTCTTCTGCACTACAGTCTCGAGAGCGTTGATTTCCTTTTGCCTGGCGTCGATTTCTTTGCTTCGCTTGTGTACCTCAGCCTTGGCTTGGGAGACCCTTTGGCTCTTCTCCTCCAACTTGCCACGGTACTCCTCGAGCGTCTCGCTAAGCGCATCGAGTTCGTCAGAAATTTCGTGACTGGAGTCCTCGATATCTGACTTCTCCCGCTGATAAGTCTGCAGGTCGCGCTCAGCCCCCTTGAGGGTTTCTTGCAGCTTCTTGAGACGTTTCTCCAGGTTGCTGTGCATGTCACGTGCCAAGGTGAGTTGACTTTGGAACCTAGACTTTTGCACCTCGAACTTGGTTCGCTCTTCGTCGGCTTCCCGTTGCATATCGCGATGCTCTGTCTCATAAGCTCGGATGTCGCTGAAACCGAGCCTCCTGCAGAAGCCAGAGAACACCTCGTCCTCCACTTGTGCGATGGCATCCGAGAATTCCTTGACCGTCCGTTTTGTTGCTTCAAGTTCCGAAGTCTTCTCTTCGTACTTGGGCTCGAGCTCGTCAAGCTGCCTTTCCTCGTTGTCCCTCTCCCTCTTCTTTGAGTTGTAGTTCTTTTCCAAGTGCGCCAACTCAGCCTTGGCAGCCGCCAGACGGGGTTCAAGGCCGTGGATCTCGATCTGAAGAGACTCCTCGGCAGCGCTGCGCCGGCCAGACTTGGGAAGCTTCTCGATCTCCTCCTTGTACTTGGCCGCCATCTTCTTCAGAGGCTCCAAGTCGGTGTTCTCGAAACGCCTCTTTCCACCCTTGTCCTGAGGACCGCGACCACCAGTCATCATACCCGTCTTGTGAATGACCAAGCCGTCCAGAGTGACTGTTTTGACGGGAATACGCTTCTCGTACGAGATGACCTTTGCGATCTTCTCATTATCACACACCACGGAGCTACCACAGGCGTATGCCATGGCGCGTTCGTAGGCGGTATCAAAGTCGATGGTGTCAATGGTCAGCCGGGCTCCCGAGATGCCCTTAATAGCCGAGTTCACCGCGTTAACCTTGATGTTGTCGAGAGGAATGAAGGTCATGGGCGGAAAGCGTTGGTCTTTTAGGTACTGAACACACTCGTGGCCAGTCTTCTCCGTGTCGACAATGACTGAATCGAAGTCGCGGCCCAGTGCAATACCAACAGCCTCGTCGAATTTCTTTTGCTTGGGCTTGCAGAGATCGCCAATCCTTCCCTTGACGCCAGGATAGAGTCGCTTCAGGTTGTTGACCATTTCCTTCATCCTGGCTTCTCTGTCATTTTGCCTGCGTCCATCGTCGGCCTCCCGCAGCTGCTTTGCTACGGTTTCGAGCTTTTCTTCTAATTCTGTGCGTCTTTGGCTGGTTCTAACACGCTCAGACTGAATTTGATGATATTGCTTCTTTTTTGTGTCGATCTCCTGAGACAGCGCCTTGATGTTGCCCTCAGTTGATGACTTGCGCTCACCGAGAGTCTGCAATTCACCCTCGTATTTCTCCAGGGCGGCCGAAAGGGTGTCAACCTTGCCCTTGAGGGTATTGACGGTGACTTCGTCAGTCTTTTGTTGACGGATCAGGTTATCGAGTTTGCCTTGGTTGCCAGCGACTCTCTGTACAACCTGTGAGCGGAGGGTGTTGTACTCTTTGCGGTCGTCTTCGCTGAGCTCCTTGCCCAGCTTCTTCATTCGTTCTTTGAGCTGCTTCTCGAAATGTTGCTGGGCTTTCTCAGTTGTCTTGAGCCGGGCTTCGTCTTCTTTGATGACTTCGGCCTGCTTATCGCGCTCTTTGCGCACCGGCTCCATTCGCGAGCGACCCTGTTCAATGTTGCGGGTCTTTTCCTCAATCTTTGCGTCAATGGGGATGAGCCTGTGCTCCAATTCGTCGAACTCGCGCTTCTTGGCGTTGATGGCCTTTTCCACCCCATGGACATCCTTTGCCGCCGATTGCTGCTCTTTCTGGGCAGCTTCGAGTCTCCGTCTGAAGGATTCGACATTGCGCTGGAATTCTTGCAAGTTCTGTTGGTGGTCATGAATTTGCTCAGTAGACTCATCCATGCCGCGTTGAAAATGATAGAGCTTCCATAGAGCATGCTTGACGATGGCTTCATCCCTCTCGTCCGTCTTCTTCTGAAAGTTGTCTGCTTCCCTCTTCTGTTCCTGATATTGCTTGATCTCGGAGTTGATGCCGCGTCTCCGGTGAAGCTGGAAGCTCTGATTCTCAGCAGCTTGCTCGGCTTCAGTCTGCAGTCGTTCGTACTCGGCCTTGTACTCAAGACTTCCGGAGATCTGTTCAATCAGCCTCGTGAGGTCTTGCGGAGATTGCGCGGCAATGGCTTCGACATCTCCTTGGAAGACGAGGAAATTTCTCGCCTTGATCAGGATGTTCTCGGATTCAAGGGCTTCGTTGTACTGCTGAGCTGTGACGACACGATCGTTGATGCGGTACTCGCTGGATCCTGAATTCGTGATGGAGCGCTTCCACTTTTGCTCGTCGCCAGCATCGTCCTCGTATACAGCCATCACCCATGCAGTCTTTGGGTCGGTCCTCGAGGCTTTTTGCGACAACTCGTCTCCATCGCCGTTGGAGTGACCATTACTGCCATTCGTTTCAGCAGATCCATCGTCGTTGATTTTCGAGGTTTTGAGCACGCGGCCACGGTAGACAAGGTCCTTGAGGTGGGCTGATCGGAGATGTGACGACTTGATACCAAGCACGAAGGATATCGCGTCCATGCTGTCGGTGGTTGCACATTAGTTGCAGGTCAAGGTAGCGTGGGTAGTTTGGCGAACTTACGAGTTTGACTTGCCGGATCCATTGGGTCCAATGATGGAAGTGAAGTAGGAATCGCCGAACAAGAGGATATGATGACCCTTG